CCCCTTCCCTGCGCCCTCCCCCGCCTCCCCCTTCCCCTTCCCCCCAGCGCCCTTTTCCCCCCCAGCCGCCTTCCCAGTCTCCTTCTCCCCGCCCCCCTTCCCCTTCTTCTCCGCCCCGCTCCCCGTCCTTGCCTCCCCAGCACCCGCCGCGGAAGCAGCGGGCGCCGAGGCTGGCGCGTAGGTTCGGGACGGCACGTCGAGCAGGTTCGCGGGGTCCTCGTCCACGCCGAGCCTGCGCGTGTCGAGGGAGCGGAAGCGGCGGATGGTGCTGTAGCGATTCGCCTCCACGTATGCTGCTCGGTACGCCGCGTCCGTGTTGAGCTTGTGATGCGTGCGTTCCCTCTGTAAAGGGCGTGAGAGTTAAGGAGGGGAGTTAATGGGGGAAACCGGAGTGGCGGGCGCAAAATGATAAGGAGGGAGCAGAAGCGGCGGATGGTGCTGTAGCGATTCGCCTCCACGCATGTCGCTCGGTACGCCGCGTCCGTGTTGAGCTTGTGATGCATGCGCTCCCTCTGTGCTGGGACGAGACACCAGGGGGAGGAGGGGGAAGAGGGGGAGAGGGGGGAAGCAGTGTGGGGATGAGGAAAAACGGAGTGGGGAGTGGGGAGAAGGTTGGGTAGACTCCACGTATGCGGCTCGGTACGCCGCGTCCGTGTTCATACGGTGAGGTGTGCGCTCCCTCTAAGCAGAGACGCGACAGCGGGAGTGAGCGGTGCGGGAGTGAGGAAAATCGAAGGGCGGGCACATAAGAGAAGTAAAGGTGTGATGCATAATTCGATTCCATTCCATTCCGCTCCTTCCATGTTACGCCTGCCGCTCATGAATGGGACGTCTTACAGCGTGCCTGCTGCTCGCGTAACACTCCCACAACCGAACCCACAATCCCGCACTCCAAGCCCAGCCGCCATTCACGCCGCCATTGCCGGCCCCAACCCAGGCGCACACTGAAAGCCCGCACCCCCAGGCGCACTCAGAAAGCCCTGACAACTCAGTCACACACTGACAACACATCCCCCCCCTCCCCAACACACTCCCCCAGCCGCACCTGCTGCTCGCAGAAGGCCTCAAGCGCCGCAATGTCCTTTTTCGACGCGAGCTCCTGAATGGTCGCCAGGTCCGCTCGGTACTGTCGGAAATCCTCGTCCTGAGGAGAGAGGGGGGAGGAAGAGGTGGGGAGAGGTGGGGAGAGGCGCGGAGAGGGGGAAAGGGGTGTAGGGGAACGGAAATGAGAGAGGGGATCAAGACAAAGGACGGGAGAGTGTTGAGGCTATTAGAAAAGAGCGGGGGAGAGGAGGGGGAAGCGAGGGGAAGGACGGCGGAACAGGAGAGGGGCAGCCCCAAGAAGTGGGAAAACGATTTTTGACAAGATCTAGGGTACTGACTTGGAAAGCGGGAATAGGGCAGCCAGGGGCCGGGGAGGGGGGGGCCGGGGGTGGGGATGTGGGGGAAGAATGGGTGTGGGGGGAGCGGGGGTGGGGAGGGAGGTGACGCGGATCGGGAGGGCGGAACGCGAAACCCGCGCACCTTCTTGTTGGTGGCGGCGCGCGCGGCGCGCAGCTCGTCGTAGACCTTGTCCGCCTCCATCTGCGCCTTGGCGCGCTCCCCGAACAGCGCCTGCACCTCCTCGTCCAGCGCCGCCGCCTCCGCCTCGAGCGTCGCGCAGATCTTCTGCGCCGCGTCGCGCTCCAGCTTCAGTACGTCCACCTCCGCCATGATTGGCTGGATTAAAGGAGGGGGAGCGGATGGAGCGCGGGGGAGAGAAAAGGGGGGGAAAGAGGCGGGAGGGAGAGGGGGGATAATGGGGGTGGGGAGACGGGGGAGTGGGGAAGAATGGGGGACGGGGGATCAGGGCGGAGAGGGGGAAAGGGATGTGTGATTTGCCGTGTGGTACTTCAACTGAAGTACGTGGACACCCGCCCGGCAAGATCAGGTCGAAGGGGGAAAGGGGGGTGCGGGGAGGAAAAGCCCCCATGACAAGAAGGTTACATGATGACCATCACACGACGGTACAACAGTTACATCAACCGAAAATCCACCGAACATTCTCATCATTCCCAGCAGTCCCAGCATCCCCAGCATCCCGAATATGCCTGGCATACCCAGCACTACCAGCCTTCCCACCATGCCCGGCATTCCCAAAACTCCCAACCTTTCCCACCAGCGCGTAGCGCGCGCGTTACCTTGAGGCGCTCCTGGATGGAGTCGCGCTGGCCCTGGCTCTCCTGGAACGACGCCGTGAGGGCCTCCATCTCCTTCACCTTGGGGCGCGACGCCTCCAGCTCCTTGAGCTCCTTCATCAGCTGCTTCTCCTCCTTGAGCGAGATCGACTCGTGCTGCATGCGGTGCTCCGTCGCGGCAATCTGTGGGATGGGAATGCAGTAAGGGTGGTAAGGGAAGTGGATCCTTCATCAGCTGCTTCTACTCCTTAAACGAGATCGTCTCGTGCTGCATGCGGTGCTCCGTCGCCGCGATCTGTGGGATGGGAATGCAGTAAGTGTGGTAAGGGAAGGGGTTCCTTCATCAGCTGCGTCTACTCCTTGAGCGAGATCGTCTCGTGCTGCATGCGGTGCTCCGTCGCCGCGATCTGCGGCGGGTGAGACGGGCGAGGACGACCGGGATGGGATGGAAATCTCGCAATCGTACGGCAACTCAAATGGTCGCAGCTCAAATTGCGAGCCAAGCGCTGCGAAGGCTAGAGACCACGCGCTGCTCGAATATTAAAATTTCGATCAAGAAAGAATTTATGTGAGTGGATCGTATTCGGTACTTCATTTTCGCAAAAGTTACGGTTTCAACACTCACACGCAGATAATTATTCAATTAACGCACGTATGAGCGCAATACAAGATGCTGATTGGCTTACCAGCGCATTGAGCTGCGCCTCCGTGGTGCACTCGAGCCCGCGGCCCCTGTCGCGCACGCTCGCCTTGCTCTCGTTCATCTTGCGCAGCACGCCCTGCAGCGGCTTCGCCTCGTCGAACTTGTTCCGCACGTCCTGTGAACAATCCCGCGCGCGCGCCCGAGCGGCCTTGAGCGCTTCAAAGGCCTCCGACCACTGTGCCTGTGTCGGCGACGATTGACGCCCGAATAGATGGAAATGAGCGACGGTTAACACATCGGAATTGGAAGAAATTAAAAATCGTCCAATAGAAGATCTTGAGAGAACAAATTACATCATATGACGAGCTCCATAAATTTGTGCAGTAAAGATCAGTATATGCGCGAAGCGGTACCTTCTTGGCGCGAAGCGCGGCGCTAACGGCCTGCTGCTTGTCGCGTTTCTCCTTGACGCGCTGCTCCACCGCCTTGATCTTGCTGATCTCCGCCGACAGGTCTGGACGCGGAATTCTGATGAAATAAAACTCGCGATGCGTCTTGACCGGTTCCGCCCCCAGCTCCGGGACCGCCGCGAGCTCCGGAACGTCTGCTGGTGCGAAGCCGGAGTCAGCTCCGTCAGGACCGGTCGCGGGTTCGAATCCTGCAGTGCTCGATATGCCATCGGCCGATTCCAACGGAGCTGAATCGGCAATTTCCGCGGATGGGGCTTCCGTCCCGGAAGCGTCCCCTCCGATTTGCGAGACGTCTTCGACAACAGGCGGGATTTCGTCTCCTGATGCCATTTCTACGAGAAAGGTTTAGCCCTCAAGGGACGGGCGTACGAGAACACTGCAAGATCCTGGCTATACTACAAATGGCAAGGAAAACCCCTAGATCCGTCACCTACCCACCAGTGATGGCGGACGAAGAAGCAGAAGTGAGATCTGGGACTGGGAGTTCAAAATGACTGAAGAATTGGATGTGGTGGATGAATCCAAGGCAATCATTCGCGTTATTGAGTCTCCCGACGATCGCAATTCCCAGTTCGAGAAGATCGAGGTTGGTGAAATGTGAACGAACAACCGGACAGGCAAACTGTTGACCTTGGCTGTCGGAGTTGCTTCGTTGGCTTGGCAGCCCATAGAAGACATGCCCTGCCCTGGGCCAGAAGTCCGTGCCCGGCCTCCGAGAAAAGCGAAAAACGTCGGCGGGTGGAGGCACATATGGCATATTCCGCAGCGCCTTGGGAATCCTCCTTGAATTGTTCCTCGATGTGCTGCTGGCTTGTAGGGGGTGAAAGCTCTCGGTCAGGTCTGTTCGATAATAAATTCATTGCACAGTGTTTAGAACGATCGTTTGGCATCTGGGGCAGCCGAGCTGACCTGCGCCTTGGTGTTTGCGCCAAATTGAAGTGATCGATTTACCTCGCCACAGCAAACCTCACCACAAGTACAAACTTGCGTCAGCTGAACTGTACGTTATCCACTTTCTCAAGGTCCTCTGGAAGGTCTACACTGTTTCAACGGTTGCCACTAGCGATCGAAGTTCCCGCCAGAAATTATCGATTTTTCATTGGTGCCAGTGGTTTCTGTTTCCAGCTGCTCTCAAAATTCTCGAGGACTTTAGAAATACCCGATACAAATTCTCTTCACGGAGGAGTTTTTTCCCACAAGCCAACTGTGCCCCACTTGGGAGGGGAAAAATGCCTTCAGTCAACATAGAAAGGTAGTGCGTGCCACCCTTACGAAATACCAAAGGCACAATTACTTGTTACTCAAACGTTTAGAGTCTGTGTCTTTGCCAAGGTAACGATCTCTCCAAATTAGCCGTTTCCAAAACCAAACCGCTCAATTTCCCAGGCAAAATCTCCTCATCTCTCAACCACCATGTTCCTTAGGCAGAACCCTTTCCCCACCATCAGCCACACCTATACCAATCACAACGCAATATCTCCGTACAGCCCTTCGTCCTACTGAATGTTAATGTAGTTTAGGTCAACGCGACCCGTCTAACGCATAGTGAGTCAGGTCAATCGGCATCTCGCGTTGGGTCCACCCGTTATCGCTATTTTCTAGAGCGTACCTTCACCAACCGTCAGACAGCACGCCACTTAGCACGGTTACAATAAAGGAATAAAAAGCGTATCTTGTAATCTCTCGGCTGGTTAGTGTCACTATTGAGGCATGAGCGGCGGGGGGCCTGGATGGGGGACGTTCTTCGGGCTCTCGCCCTCACAGTCTCGCGTGGCTCCCGAGGAGAATGGTTCCGACATTGCAATTAAGGTCGGTGCACTCGACCAAGGTACAATCAGGTCCGTCACGGTTGAAGGCGACGCAGCAAAGCCAGCAGACGCTGTTCCGGACCCAATCGCAGTGGCCGATAAAGGAAATAGTGCTCCGACTGATACGTATACTAACCTCCCGCCAACTGACGAGAATCCGCCTCAGTCAATTGAGAGCTTAAAGCCCTCTCCGACGGCTCAACCAGCGTCGGCAGCGGGCGACGCAGGCATTCAGGCAGAGGCAAATGGAATCCCCAGTGGTGACCGCGATAACCGAATGGAGGGAGTGAGGGATAATGTGGCGGAGAAGGCGGGAGAGGAAGTTACTAAGGAGAATAAGGTAGGGGAGGGAGTGATGTTGGAGGTTGGGGGAGAGGTGAATGGAAAAATGGGCGAAAACGGGCTGCAGAAGGAAGTTTCTGTGTTGGAGGGTGGGGATGGTGTGAACAGTGGGGAGGTTGGCAAGGGTGGGAAATGTATTGAGCCGTTTGGAAGCCCGCCTGTGACGGAAGTTGGGACGCTGCAAAAGGGGCGGCAATCGCCGGCAGATAGCGAGAATCTCAGGGGGGGCGAGGGGCAAGGTGAAATGCGGGTGGTAGGAGATGAACAGCAGCTAAACGGGCGACCACTGGCGGAGAATGCGGAAAGAAAAGTGGCTGCGCGTACAGAGGAGGAGGAAGGGAAGCCCGAGAGTCAAGTTCCGGAAACGCCTCAGGAGCCCGAAGAGGGGCGAGGCGTTGAGAGGTCTCAAGAGGAGGGTGCGAGCAAGGGCGTTGAGGGGCTGGAGAGTGTGGTGGTGGTGCTTGCAGAGGGAGAAAGGGGAGGAGCGGATGGCGGAGGGGGGACGGGTGGACGGAGCGAGGGGGAAAGGGAGACGGAAGGGGTTAGTGGGGTAAGAAATGAAGAGGGAGTTGGAGATTCAGAATGCAATGGCGTCGTTGCGGAATCAGCCCGGAAGGCAGAGGAAGGCGAAGCAGCTGCTGCTGTGCCTCTGACGTCACATGTACCTGCCTCTTCTCCTCTGCCTGCCCCGTCCCCTGCCCCTGTCCCGTCCCCTGCCCCTGAAACGTCTCCTGTCCCCGTCTCGTCTCCTGTGGCCGTGACATCCTCGGAAGGCGAGCATCAAAAGGGCGGAGAAGCGGGGCGTGAGCAGACCAGCCATGGGCCTCATGAGAATGGGACGGCTGACACGGTGCCCAATGCTGGTAGCGGAGACGCTGATAAGGCGGATACGGGGAGAAGGGAGATGCGGTCCAAGGTGGACGAGCTTCTGGCGCAGGCTGCTGTGCTGAGGGCGCGCGGACAGGCGCGTGGGGGAAGCGCGGAGCGGGGGAACGCGGGCCTGGGGGACGGGAGAGAGGGCGGAGAGGGGGAGGGGGAGGGGGTGAGCGACGGGGATGGGGAGGAGGAGGCGGGGTGGGAGGGAACGAGTGAGGAAGAATCACCAATGGAGAGGGAAAAAAGCTGGGGGGATGATGATGATGACGATGATGAGAGTAGTGCGGGGGAGGAGGAGCAGGGGGGAGGATTGGGGGGTGGAGGGGGAGGGGGAGGGGGAGTGCACCGGATGGTGCATCTGCAGCGCGCCCTGGCCGAGCTGACTGCTGCTTCCAGAGAGAGGGAGAGGCGGAAGAGAGAAGCTGCTGCTGCTGCTGCTGCTGCTGCTGGTGGTGGTGGTGGTGGTGGTGGTGCTGCTGCTGGTGCTGTTGCTGCTGGTCGTGGTGGTGCATTTGCCACATCTGCTGACGTTGATATTGCTCCTGGTGGTGAAGCAGGAGGGGGAGGAGCAAGGGCAGAAGGAGAGGCAACAGGGGGAGCAACGTCAGTCGGAGCTGGGGCGGAATCTGCAGCAGGATCGACAGAAGGAGAGAGGGGAGAGACGGATGTGGGTACTGCTGATGTCGTGGACACAGCAGGACAGGGGGCGGGCAGACAAGGAGAAGGACAAGGAGAAGGACAAGGTGACAGGGGCGAGGGCGAGGGCGAGGATAAGAAGCAGGTAACAGAGGCTGGAGACGGGGCAGGGGCTGCCCAGGGGGAAGGGGGGAAGGACGAAGGGCAGGAGAAGAAAGATGTTCCTGTGGGAAAGCTGCAGAAGGAACTGAAAGGGCTAGAGTTGATGCTGGCACGTGTGAAGCAGCGGCAGGCGGAGGAGCAGCAGCAGAAGGAGAAGGAGAAGCAGGCTGAGGCGGAGAGGGAGAAGCGGAAGGAGGAGCAGCAGAAGCTGAGGGAGAGGAAGCAGCGCGAGGAGCGGTTTAATGAGCTGCTGGAACGGCAGAGAGACGGAGGAGGAGGAGGAGGAGGAGCAGGAGCGGGGGAGGAAGGGAGGCGGATCAGGGGCGGGGGGTGGTGGTGGGGGAGGAAGAGGGGGCAGAAAGGCACTGCTCGCAGGGCTGACTCTTGCTGGCACCAGCTCTGATGCAGGGCTGAAGGGGAAGGGCGCAGGGAGCTCTGCTAGGAAAGGCAGCAGCGGAGGGGGGAAAGGAGGGGAGGATGAGAAGGAGGAAGAGGAGGAGGAGAGTGAGAGACCGATGGGGTTGGAGGAGGCGAAGGCGCACCTGCTGCGGGTGGCAGCAGAGGGGTTTGAGCGGAAGCGCAGAGCAGAGGAGGAGGAGGACCCGCAGGTGACGGTGGGGGCGCTGCCTGTGATTCCCGAGGGGGATAAGGAAGGGGAGGAGACGGATGATGAGGAGGGGGTGGTGGGGTCGATAAAGGGTGCTGGGAAGGTAAGGGTGGTGGAAGGTAGGGAGGAGAAGGAGGAGGGAGGGGAGGAGGAGGGAGGGGAGGAGGAGGTGCGGAGGGAGCAGTGTGCGGCAGGAAGCACTGGTAGTGGTGGTGGTGGTGGAGGAGGGGGGGGTGCAAGAGGGTTGGGGTTGTTGTCACTCCTAGGTTCATTTGGAATAGGCCGCGGAGGGAGCACGTCAGCAAGCCAGGAGCAGCGGCAGCAGCAGCAGCAGTGGTGACGGGAGTGGACCCGCTGCCAAGCCTGCAGCAACCCAAGCGATTGCTGCTAGCCCTGCTGCTTCTGCTGCTGGTGGTGGTGGTACTGGTGGTACTGATGGTGGTGCTGTCAGCAGCACCAGTACCGCATCCAACCCAGCAACACCCACGACTAGTGGCTCTTCCTCTGCCCCTCCTGCCTCCTACGCCTCCGCTGCTGCCGCCGCCGCTGCGGCTGCAGCTGCGGCGGCCTTCACACCCTCACCCGCCACGTCAGCATCCCCGCCCCCAACCGCCACGTCAGCATCGTCGTACGGGCCAATGGGGGACAAGAAGAGCAGCTCGCCAGACACTCTCCCAGACCGCCCACATCTCTCCACACACAGGGATGCTGCTTCCTCCCTCTCTGACTCTCCTGCTCCCCCCACCACCTCTTCTCCCTCTGTTGCTGCCGCTGCTGCTGCTGCTGGTACTGGTACCGCTCCCGCCTCTCCTCCCCTGTCAGCCTTTCCCCCGCGCATGAACCCCAACAGCCCCTTGACCTTCAGTCTGGGTCTATTCGGGGGCCCAATAGACCTGGCCATGACCTCCTCCTCCTCCCCCTCAAGCTCCCCTCACCCCTCCCGCTCCTCCTCCTCCGCCTCCCTTTCCGGCCCCACCTCCCTCTCCCTCTCCCTCGGTCCCGCCTGCGCCTCTGCCAACACTCCACCCCCAGTCTCCCTCCCATCGTCTCTCACCGAATCCCAAGTCAGCTCCTCCTCCCCGCCCTCGTCTCTCGCTCCTCAGCCCTACTCCCTTGCCGTTCCCGCCTCTCCTCGCACTAGCTTCCCTTACTCCATGCCGGCCTCTCCCTCCTCTCTTGTGGTGCGGGATGTGGACCATGCAAAGAGGCAGCTCCTAGCAATGGCAGGGGAGGCTAAGGAGCGGATTGGCGGGCTCGAACGCCAGCTGGCGGCGCGGGACGCGGATGTCGCCAGGCTGGAGGATGAGGTGGCGGCGCTGCGCGCTGAGTCGGAGCGGCGAGAGGAGGAGGTGGCAAGGCTGATGGAGAGGTTAAGGGAGCAGGAGGAGAGATGGGCTGCTGCTGCTGCTGCTGCCGCTGCTGCTGCGGCTGGTGGCATGAGCAGGGCATCAGGGGGAGCAGCGGGAGGTACAAGCAGCAGCAGAGTAGGTCCAGCAGGCGGCAGGGCGGAAGACCAGAGAAGAAGGCTCGACCAGCAGCCGCCGCAGCAGGTGATATCTAGAACAATTCTGCTGCAGAGGCAGCTGCAGGCTGCTGCTCCCAGGCCTGGGCGAGGGCCCCGGTGGCAGAGCTTAGAGCGGCGCCTGGAGCAGAAGGATGAGGTGCTGGTTCGGCTCATGGGGATTGCCAAGGACCGGTGGCGGGAGGTTCGGCGCGAGGACTATTCGGCGGAAGGATAAGGTGATTGCGGAGCTGGCTGAGATGGTGGTTCGGGCCCAGGCTGGGGGGAGTTCCGGTGGTGGTAATGGTGGAGAGAGTGTGGGGGAGGGGGGGAGTGAGGGAGGGGATGGCACGGGGAGGAGTAGCTTGGAGGAGGAAGTGAGGAAGTTGTTGGAGTTCGCACTGAGGCACGGGGAGGAGGTGGAGGGGGTGCTTACGAGGGAAGAGCAGAAGCTCCAGGAGGTTTTTGAGGCAGCAGACATTGCAGGGCTGAAGTGGGGTGTAGATTCGGGGATAGTTAGTTCCTGTGTAGATGTGTCAGGGGCTGGTAGCAGTAGTGGAGACGGAGGGGCTTACGTGGTGTCTGGGCAAGAAGACCAAGGGGAGGAGGTTACAAGTGGTGATAGGGTTGCACAGAGGACGGAGAAAGTGGCAATCGCCTCACAAAGACGGGCAGGAATAGCTAGAATGAGAGGAGATAGGAGTATTTCTGACGAACGTGTTAGGTTTAGGGGGGCAGGCTCAAGACGTGCTGGTGCGGAAACCCAGCGCTAAACATACGATGCTTAGGGTATAATGATACTGTTCCCACATCAAATAACATGCTTCTCCACTATACTTCTGTTTACTAGTTGCTTCATTACTGTATATTTTGTACCTCTACACTTCCAGCTAGATCGCGAGTCGCCGCAATTGCAGGTAGGGAGTGTGTGACCGACGAGTCACGACGGAACAATTTCAAGGCTATTCTGGTTCGCGATTCGCAAGAGGCACATCATGGGCGCCGCATTTCACGGCACAGAACTGCGATGAGGGAAGTTTTGCCCCAGATTTTTTTTCGTGGGTACTTACACTTGGAATGATAAGGTCTACTACCCTTTGTTTCTTGTGCTATTTTAATACGACATCGAATTATTTCAAACTTCTGCGACTTCGAATTAAACAATGGGCAGAAAAACAAACTGTCACATTGGGACCCGCGACCGCGATATCTTGCCGCGTCGCGCAGGAACGCTCTTTCACCTGCTCCCCGCTGCCCGCATCAACAAGAAAGCAGCGACGCATTGAAGTACGCAACCAACCACCAAGTACGTAGCCAGCCCCTCAAGACAGATAAATTAGCCCCCTTTCCCCACCCCAACCATCCCGGCTCCTTCATAACTGGCGATAGCGCAGCGCGGGAGTGTGAGTAGCTGGTCATACAGACGCACGGCACACAGTGGCACAGCACCCTCTTATATAAGTGGCTGAGGTCAAATTAATCAGAGCTACTTTAAAAGAAATTGGCTTTTCTGCTGCTCTCCTCAACCTCTCTCCCCGTTCGTCCTCCAGCCTCTCACTACCTATCTGAGCGTGCAGACAGAGAAGCACCCATTTCGTCGTCGAAATCGCCAGGTTTCCCTCCAGCCATGGCGTTCTCACTCCGTCTCCTCACCGCGATCCTCGCTGTGAGCTTCATGGCGGTCGTCGGCGCGCAGCGAGTGGACGTATCGTTCAACCAGAACTTCGTCTTCCCGTCGTGGTGCAAGCCGCCCTTCTGCACGCTCTCGCCTAACGGCGGCATCTCCCTCGCCGTCAGCCCTAAATCCGTCGGAGGTGAGCCCGCGACTCGATACGTCTCAAGTTGATTTCCCTCGTGGTGCCAGCCGCCGAACCGCACTCTCGCGCCCGACGGCGGCATCGCCCTCGCCGTCAGCCCCAAATCCGTCGGAGGTGAGTGTGCGACGTTTGCGTGCGACAACGCCATGCGATAACGTTTTTCTAAGAAGACTGAAGAGTGAGTATAGCGTAGTGCACGGCAAATGTTGTCATTGAGCCGCGTCACTCGTCTCCAGAAGTCTCTTAAGCAAAACATCTCAAACACCCTTCTGTTACTACCTTCTCGCGCCCACCCTTTCAGTCTTTGAGTCCAAGGGCGTGTACAGCTACGGTATCTACTCCGTGCGAATGAAGCTCCCCGCGGGCTACTCGGGCGGCATCATCCCGTGCATCTACCTCATCACGCCCGGCGCCACGTCATACAAGTCGATCCACGACGAGATCGACCTCGAGTTCCTCGGCGGCACGGACCCGCTCAATATCACCATCCACACAAACCTCATCACGGGCGGGCAGGTCAAGCTGGAGCAGTTCCGCTTTCCGTTCGACCCCTCGGCGGCGTTTCACACGTACACGATCGTGTACTCGCCGGATCGGGTCATGTGGTTGGTGGACAACACGCCGATTCGCATCACCGCCAGGACGCCCGGGAAGCCTTTCCCGTCCGACAACGTCAAGATCATGGTGAGTCGGTAAAATCGATGGGAATCGGACGGCTGAAACCACGACGCGAGGATTCAGGTGCAGTACACAAGGAATTTACTGTGGCATTTAGCCTCCACACAAGGGATCAAGCCTCCATAGTATTCCCCTGTCGATCGTCCGTAGCCCTTTTCCAGCCCACGATGTGACGCTCTATGCAAACGTGAAGCTCGTGTTAACCCTTTTCAACTATTTTTCGAATGCCCATCAAAATTCTCTCCAGGGCTCCATTTGGGACGCGTCGTCGTGGAGCAAGCTCAAGCCCAGCTACGCGAACGGCCCGATCAAGGTGCAATACAGCAACTTCGACGTTCGCAGGACGTGCCGCGTGCCGCCCAGCGGGGCGGTGCCTCCTTGCAAGTCGTGGCGCAATGTCGCCCAGGCGCCATGGATGGGGGTTCCAACGGCAGCCCAACTGGGGCGTTTCAGACAGTACCGGCAAAAGTTTCTTGTGGCTGACTACCCTTGGGGCCCCGCCGTGTGAGAGGACTGGAATGACTACAGGGTAGGTGGCGACAGCGCTATTTCCCCTTTAGCTGGTTGGGAAGGGGCGGTTTATCTTAGGATTAACGTAGAGCGTGTTGGTAACGCGTTATGCTCCTATGGCGACATGCTTCTTGGGGAAAATGCTGCTAGGGCGACATGCTCCATCGCAATAATGAGTAGGGGATACCAACCCTGAATCTGGGGATGTTTATCAACCACTGCAATAAGTTAAACCAGCACATTCTACTGTATCATGATCTGTATGACAAGCTACTTGCAAGTGCATTTGAGCTCTATCATCTTTTGCAGGAAAATGACAGCAGAGTGTTTAGCATGTAATTGTAACACTGGGTTTCAAACCTTTGGGGCCACAGTTTTTATTGCAATGCTCTTTACTGATTCAGTCTTGGGGGCTTCGTATGTTATGTGTGGATGCATTGTACAGCCAATATAAATGTTGTAGAACTAGTTATACTATGCAAACGAGGACGTGTACAGTTATGTAAATCAGTGGCTCTGTTCTGTAGGCCCTGGCGGTGGGGGAGCGAGGGGAAATAGGTAGCTTCCCTCTCCTTCGTTTTTTGGTGTGGAACGGCTAACCGTTCAGCAAACGGTGCCGAGCCAGTCATTTCCCCTCCGAACCTGTTCGAGGGGAAATGGCTACAGAACAGCCACTTACCCTCTGTGGTTTAGGCTCCTAGGAAACTACCAACTTCCCCTCCACACCTTCCTTCTCGGGCAAAAATCAAGCCACTCGCCCCGACCTTCGAAACCTGCTTTTTCAGAGCGTGGCGAGAGACATGGGAGGGATGTACAAGGAGGGGGACATCCACATTCTACCCTAGATGGACATGTACCGACGTCGCGATTAACCCATCCTCTCAAGAACAACCCGCTCGTGAAAAACAAGGCCGAGCCATCTTGCACGACGTGGTTGGGAAAATGGGTCGGAGGTTTGCCTTTAGTTTTTCAAACGCTGAACCCCCTGGCAATGTTTTACACTCCTCATTAGGGTTGATCGATTCGATGTACCCATGGCTATGGGGCGCGAAATTGAGCAGGTAAATGCGTCATTTACCGTCGGCAACTTCCTTCCCAGCTCCAGAAGTTTCGCGCTTTCGGTTTTAGCGGGGTGGGGGTGATTCCGACAGGGAAACTGCTCAGGAACCCTCGTCATTTACTTTCGCCCCCCCTCCTCCCCCCCACGGCATGTGCCTGCATAACAGAGCCAATGGCTGTGTTCTGCAGGCATTTGCCTTGGGAGGGAGGTGGGGGGCGAAGGGAAATGACGATAGTTCCGAGGCAGTTTCCCCTTCGACTCTCCCCCCCCCCCCCCCCCCGCTACAACCGAGAGTTGAAGTTTCGGGTTTAGGGTGCGAAGCTGCTGAAGGTAATGCCGAAAAAACAGCCACAATTTCCACCGCACAGAATTTGGGTATATAGAGCTACGCGAAATCAGAAAAAGGGTTGAAGTTTAGAGAAGGGTTACCACGTAGAAAAAAAGGGTCCCCAAGCACTCCCTCCAGCAATACACAAACCTCGCTGTGTTTTTTTTCCTGTTAGTTTGACACGTCCCTGTTTGGGCTACTTAAGGGAGGTGCTGTTGCTTTCTAGGGTTCAACCATGGTGTTCCCTAACCCCCCGCCTCCCTCCCCCCTCCGTCTCACATCCAGGGCAAGAGCAGTTTTAGAAAGGGGGGGAGGAGGAGGCAAATTTTGCCAGAGAAGGAAGCTGGGGTGGGGAAATAGGCAGCTTCCTACTCCCTCATATCCTCGAGGGTAAATGGCTGTTCTGTTGCCATTTACCTTCGTTTACGTTCGGAGGGTAAGTGGCAGGCTCGGATCCATTTTCCGGGCTGACCGGGCGTTTGATCCAAAAAACGCAGTTGGGGGAAGGTTCCTATTTACCGCCTCCCCCCCCTCTGTCGTGCCTGCAGAACGCAGCCAATGGGCAACGTTCTTCCAACTCGGAAGGAAATTCCGACGAAACTCATAACCACGAGACGTCGTTGTTTTCGCAACGCGCATGCGACTCGCGATCGCCCCGACCGACCACCCCAAGCAGTGCTTTGCTTGCCAGCCCAGCACATTTGCGAGGCGATTTCTTTCTGACCGACGGCGTTCGCAGGGGGTCTCAACGTGTCGCCGATCATCCGCCATCGCAGAATTTGACGAATGTGTTCGGAATGGAATGCACGCGACGCGGGTCGCCCAAATGCCGCCAAGGGAATTGAGAAAGAGCAATTTGCACAATTATATCAACAAATCGCGCCAGGCCAAAACTAGCCCAGCTGTGCCGTGTGTCCCCCTCTCCATCCCATCAACTTCCTGAATCCTGATCATACCTCACCTTACCCTCCTCCCTGCCCTGCAATGTCATTCGACATTCACCTGCCATGGGGATAACACGCGTCGCCTCGACAACATAAAGCACAAAAATACTGCCTTGCGTTCCGTTGGATGCTGAATCTGTTGAGGTGAATTCGGGACAATCAGTCACTAGCTTTCCTTGGCGCACCTAATCGAGCCCTAGAGAGCTGGACGAACGAAACCTGCTGCTAAAACATCTACTGGAATCGCCACTAGAAGACGGTTTCCAAAAAACGCGTTCCCACACAACGAGACAGTTGGATCAACGTTAGTGCTCTCCCCTCCTCACCTGAGGCGAGGCCCGGCGCCATCGATGGCAACTTCCAGAGGCCGTCTTCCGTTCGGCCAGCAGCCATGCCGACGCGCCGCCCTTTTGCATGTTCTTGCCGCCCTCCTTCCCACTCTTGCGCTCCTCGCGCAATGTTCCGCCTTCCATTCTTCCGCAAGATCGCGGAGGGCCGCGCACTGGCCCGGCCGATCGCTTGCCGGCAACAACTTGGCGCTCCACGCTGCCCCCAGACCAGAAGACGTGGTACCCTCGGATTTCGGGGGTAGATTCAGGGACCCCCACCGACCCCTCGCTACAACGGCGTCGGTGATCACCCCGCACGATATCGCGATCGCTCGCGCTATTGTCACAGGCGAGGCTACATCGGTCCAGTCAACGCTGTCAGCGCGGACCATCAGCAGCAGCAATAGCCCGAGCCCAACGAAGGTTCCGAGCAAGAGCCCAGGTTCGCCGGTCAATACCAAGAGCCCGCCAACGGGCACGGGCACATTTAATAAGAACCCTCCTAAGGGCACGAGCAATAAAAGTCCGCCCACGGGAATAAACGGCAAGAGCCCAACTACAGCATTCAACAATAAGAGCCCCCCGACGGCGAATGCCGGTAGTGCTTCCACCCCGAAGCCCCCGCGACAAGCTCCCAAGTCCCCCGCGAAGCCAAACCCGCGCTCCCCGCCCTCTCAAAAGCCCCCCGCGCAGAATTCCCCCCCGCGTGCGCCCAGCGGCAAGTCCCCCCTACCGCAGCCTTCCGCTCCCCCCAAGAAGACTCCCCCCGCCCCCGTGAACCTCGAAACGACGCGGGCCTCAAGCGGAACGGGAGCGAGCGGAAGCACGGGGGGGACGGGGGGAACCGGGGGAACTGGTTCGAGCGGCGGAACTGGTAGCAGCGTGGGGAACTCCAGCAGGAGTACTGGAAGTTCCGGAAGCACCGCGAGCAGCAGCAACAGCACGGGTTCAGCGGGTAACACGGGGACCACGGGCAGCACGAAGAGCTCGGGCAGCAGCACGAATAGCACGGGCAGCAGCACGAACAGCACGAGCAGCAGCACGAACAGCACGGGCAGCAGCAGCTCAAACAGTACTGGAACTGGCAGCGGCAGCGGCAGCGGTAACTCGACCGGCGGGACGGGAAGCGGGAACAGCGGGGGAAATTCCACCGGCGGAACCGGGAGTGGGGGCGGAACCGGGAGCGGAGGCGGAACCGGGAGCGGGGGCGGAACCGGGAGCGGGGGCGGAAGTGGCAATTCAACGGACAAGCCGTTCGTGTGGACGGTCCCGCCGCGCAAGAAGGTGCCGGGAGTGGATAAGTCGTTTGACAAATACTTCAAGTTCCCCGACTGGTGCAAGGAGAGCAATTGCCGCAAGGACAGCAACGGGACTGTCACCATCTCCGCAACAAACCAGTCCGTCGGAGGTAGGTACAGTGCGGTGCAATGCGGTGTGAGGTGCTTGTATCACTTTAGAGAGTTGTCGGAAGTGATGCAAGAAGGTGCCAGGAGTGGATAAGTCGTTTGACAAATTCATCAAGTTCCCCGACGGGTGCAAGGAGAGCAACTGCCGCAGGAACAGCAACGGCACCATCACCGTCGCAGCTACTAACCAGTCCGTCGAAGGTAGGTTCAGTGCGGTGCAATGCGGTGTGGTGCGCAATCCGGGGAGATAGACTTTGAGTTCATCGGCGGGGACACACCCATAGATATCACCATCCACACCAACCTCACCTCAGCCTCTCACCCCCTTTCCCCTTCCCACCCCCCCACCCCCTCACCCCCTCACCCTCACCAGTCTTTTACTCCAAAGACTACTTCAAGTACGGAGTCTACAGCCTGCGCATGAAGCTGCCGAGCAATTACTCGGGCGGTATCATCCCGTGCTTCTACCTCATCTCGCCGGGCCCACAAGGCTACACAGACATCCACGACGAGATTGACTTTGAGTTCATTGGAGGGGAGAACCCCATGGATATCATCATTCATACTAACCTCATCACGGGCGGGCAGGTCAAGCTGGAGCAGTTCAAATTCCCGTTCGACCCGTCCGCGGATTTCCACACGTACTCGATAGTGTACTCTCCGATGTATATCATGTGGATGGTCGACGACTATCCGATACGCATCACTGTCAACGAGACGGGCCATCCGTTCCCGACGCTGCCCATGGAATTCAAGGTATGTCCTGCTTCCTATTGTATCTTTTAAAGTTAGTCAGTAGGTTGTTGTTTTTCTCATTTCATCCTACTCCTGTCTGCCTTCCAGTTGTTCCACCCTTCACACACTTGTACTCATCTCTTCCCCTGATGTCTGTACCCGTTTTTGCAGGCTTCGATATGGGACTCTTCGTCATGGAGCTGGCTCAAGGCGAACTACAGCAACGGCCCCATTCAAGCGCAGTACCGCGAGTTTGACTTCTCCCGTGCCTGCCAAATGCCTCAGGATCTCTCTGAACCGCCCTGTCTGCGCCTCCGCTCGTCCAAGCACGCCCCATGGCTGTCCAAAATGACTCTGCCACAGCTAAGAAGGGAGAGGGCGTTCAAAAAGTACTACACCAAGAAGATTTACGACTGGTCCGAGGCCAAGTGAGGAGGGATGACATCAATCATCGCCTCGTCCGTTCAAAAATCGCCTCGTTGGATCAAAGGGCTTTCTTAGACCAAGGCCAAGTGGGAGCAGGCACAGGCTGCCTTGCAGAAGACACGTCCTTGTGTGCAGGACGAGGGCTCATATGCTTGTGGCTGGCTCTTCTTGTGTATGGAGTGGGCACAATGAGCATTATTTTATTGCTCTAACATTTTGTGGGGTTGGGGAGCATAGCTGATGGGGATGCTGTGTGCTGAGAGAGTTTGAAGAGGCGTTTTATCCCATCCCATCAGCTAGATGGATGGCATGTATGGCTGTTTTCTCATTAATAAGGGCCTACAATATGAAGTGTTCAAAGAAATCAGCAGAATTGTGGAGGGAGCAAGAATCTGAGTAGTGTTAGCCCCTCATGTACCGAACTTCGTTAGCAAAATTATCATCTTATCGGGTCTAAATTTGCTGCCACGCCATTTCCCTCCTACAATGACGAGCGCACATCGTCAATTCGGAGCAATGCCACGTCACCTCCCTCTCCTCCTCAAAATCCCCCACCAGCAGCAAAATCTGCCCCACGCTCATTTTTCGTCCCCACCAACGCCCAGGCCGCAAACCATCCCCAGACCAGCCCATCCCATCCAATCCAAGCCAGCCCGATCGCCAGCGACGGAGGCTCTACCATCTCTCATCGCGTATTTCAAGCCCGAACCGGCGAGTCATTTTTATTTTTTGTTTTTCCGTTCAACCTGCTGTCCGACTGTCGTCGTGCGCGCACATACCCGTCTCTCGCGCCATCGTGCACGTTCTCCATCACACCTTCCCCTCTTCCCCACTCACCCCGCTCCGCCGCGGAGGCCGCTCCGCGCCCCACACCCACCCACACCCGCACTGCGCGGCACACAGCGGCGCCGCCTATCCGTTGCGCGCACCGTGAGCACCGCCTGTCCTCCCCATTCGCGCGCCTCACCAACGCCGACCCAGGCTCCCCCACGCTCCCACCACCACCCCCCGCATACGCGCACGCGCACTGCGCGCCACGCAGCAGCGTGGTAGCCGTTCATGGCCTCGTCACGCATCCCGCTCCACGCGCGCCGATCCTGCGCTTTCACGCGCGCGCTTATAACGAGACACGGTCTATGGACTCCCCACGCGTTAAGCACTCCCGTTGTAAGCACTCCCGTTGTAAGCACGCCAAGTGTCGCAAATCCTTCCCGTAGCTATTCCTCTCGCGAGCCGGGCAAGCCAGCTGGTGACGTGGCGGAGGCTGACGTGTCACTGGGGGAACTGGCGGGGCGGAAGGCGGCGGCGGAGCTGCAGGTGCTGGGGGTGGTGGGCGCGGGGCAGATGGGGAGCGGAATCGCGCAGATGGGAGGTGCGTCGGGGACGGGGATTTGGGGCGGAAGGGGAGGGGGAAGAGGGGGAGGGGGAGTGGGAGTGGTGCGGGGATGTGCGTGGTGGTGGCGGACGTGAGTGTGAGAGTGGTGAGTGTGACTGCTCTGCCCAGAGCTCTTGCAATTTATCCGCTCAATCCGCATCTCCTCCATCCATCCGCATCCCCTCCTCCCCTCCCCGCATTCCCCCACAACAGCTATGGCGGGGATGCGGGTGGTGGTGGCTGACACGAGTCTAGCAGCGCTGGATCACTCCATCGGGGGCATCAAGAATCAAGTCCTGGGATCCCCCCCTCCCCTTCTCCACCCTCCCGCTCCCCCTCTCCCTCCCTTCCCCCTTTCCCCCTTCCCCACGTCCCCTCCCCATTCCCCACGACAGCCATGGCAGGGATGCGAGTGGTGGTGGCGGACACGAGTCTAACAGCGCTGGATCGCTGCACGGACAGCATCAAGCACTCGCTGGGCCGGCTCGTCAGCAAGGGACGCCTGGATGAGGTGGGTGGGACAGGGGTGTGGGGGGGGGGGGGGGGGGACATGGGGATATAGTTTCATGGGGGCATGGGAAGCATTTCTGGGCCACATTCGCACCACCCCAGAATTAACCCCCTTGGAGCCGGCAGACATCATAGTGGAGGCCAGGGTGGAGAGCGAGGCAGTGAAGCTCAACGCAGTCTCCATTTCCGATGCCCTTCCCCACACCCCTTCCCCACACCCCTTCCCCAGGCAGCAGCGCTGGCATTACTGGCTTGAAGACGCACCACCCCGGAGCTGACTCCCTTGGAGCAGGCAGACATGATAGTGGAGGGCAGGGTGGAGAGCGAGGCAGTGAAGCACGTTCTCATATGTGAACCCCCTTCTCCACGCCCCTTCCGTCTTATGTCTCACAGGGAGCAGCAGCAGCAACACTATCCCGGATCCGCACCACTCCAGAACTAACACCCCTGGACAATGCAGGCTTCATTGTAGAGGCCGTGGCAGAGAGCGAAGCAGTGAAGCGCAGCACAGTCTCATACCCATCTCATACCCATCTCACACCCCTGCCTCACCCACCCTGCCCCAGGCAGCAGCGGCGGCAGCAGTGGCGCGCATCCGCACCACTCCAGAACTAACCCCCTTGGAGCAGGCAGACTTCATAGTCGAGGCCGTAGCAGAGAGCGAGGCGGTGAAGCGCAACGTGATTGGGCGGCTAGACGGCATCGCCCCGCACCATGCCGTGCTGGCGAGCAACACGTCATCCATCTCTATCACTCGCCTTGCTGCTGCCACCAGTCGACCCGATCAGGTGAGCAGATCAGCAGCCTATGGCTCCATCAACATTCTCATGGCTCACCATGGCCCGTGCGTGGCGTGGTCTGGTCACATGGGTCATGCCAACACACTCTCATGCCGCATGTCGCCTCCTCCCACTCCCCTCCCCTCCCCCCATGCCTTCTGCCCGCTCGTCCCTCAGGTGATGGGCATGCGTTTCATTAGCCCGCCTGTCATCATGTCGTTGGTGGCATGAGTGTGTGTCGCTGGTGTGTAGCCTGGTCATGATCATGTCACGCACACACATGCCACCAACACACACACATGCCACCAACACACACACATGCCACCAGCACACACACATGCCACCAGCACACACTCATGCCACCAGCACACACTCATGCCACTCTACTGCCCGTAACCCTCTCCCCGTTTCCCCCCCCCCAATGTCCCCTTCAGGTGATCGGCATGCACTTCATGAATCCACCTGTCATCATGTCATTGGTGGAGGTGGTGCCAGGTCTCGCCACGTCAGACCACACATTGCACCTCACCAAGGGCCTTGCGTACAGGTGGGGGGGATGGGGGGGTATGGGCGCACAGATGGGTGGTGGGGAGGTGGTGCCAGGGCTGGCCACGTCAGACCACACGCTGCACCTCACCAAGGGCCTCGCGCACAGGTGGGGGGAGATGGTAGGGTATGGGCGCACAGGTGGGGGGAGATGGGGGGGTATGGGCGCACAGGTGGGGGGAGATGGGGGGGTATGGTGGGGGGGGATATGGGAGCAGAAATGGGGGGTTGGGCGCACAGGTGGGTGGTGAGGAGGTGGTGTGAGGCCTCGCCACGTCAGACCACTCGCTGCACCTCACCAAGGGCCTTGCGCACAGGTGGGAGGGATTGGCGTGGATGGGGATAGGGGATGGGCGCATAGGTGGGTGCGATGGGTGCACTGGCGGGAGGAGGATGGGGATGGGCGCACAATTGAGTAGGAGAGTGGGTATGCACGGTGGTAGGACAATCAATATTGCTTGGCCTGCCAAGCAAAATCAATATTGATATGCCTTAGCTTTCCTCCTGGCTCACTGCGTGCGTCACTGCCCCTGCGTGCTCATCCTCGCCTCTACCGAGCCTACGTGCAGGTTCGGGAAGGCAGTGTGTGAGGCGCGGGACTACCCGGGGTTCATAGTGAATCGCCTGCTCATGCCCATGATTAACGAGGCATTCTATGCTCTGCTGGAGGGAGTGGGCACGGCGCAGGACATTGATACAGGGATGAAGCTGGGTACTAATCAGGTGGGTGCTTATTGCCTGTGGCTCTCTCTGCTCATGCCCATGATCAACGAGACCTTAGACACTCTGCTGGAGGGAGTGGGCACAGACCAGGACATCGATAGAGGCATGAATCTGGGTACCAACCAGGTGGTGGGTAGAGGGGTTCATACCAGGTGGGGTGTTGTTGTGTTGTCAGTTCTGCTGGAGGGGTTGGGCAGATCATCACTGTACTGCCATGCACAGCACGTCATCTCTCCTTCCACATGCCTTTCCGTTTTCCCTGTGCTTCCTGTGTTCCAGCCCATGGGACCGCTACACCTGGCGGACCTGATAGGGCTGGACACATGTGTGGCCATCATGCGAGTGCTGCATGCGGGACTGGGGGATGCCAAGTACCGCCCCTGCCCTCTGCTCTGCTCTCACCACCCGCTCTGCCCTTCTGAATATCCCCTTTCCCTCACCTCCCATCCCTCGACTTCCAGCCCATGGGACCACTTCACCTGGCGGACCTGATAGGGCTGGACACATGCGTTGCCATCATGCGAGTGTTGTCAGTCGCAGGCCTGGGGGATGCCAAGTACCGCCCCTGCCCTCTGCTCTGCTCTCACCACCCGTTCTGCCCTTCTGAATACCCCCTTTCCCCCTCACCTCCCAACCCCCATGTTTCAGCCCATGGGACCTTTGCATCTAGCCGACCTGAAAGGGCTGGACACATGCGTTGCCATCATGCGAGTGCGCAGTGCTCAGTGCTGCACCTCACATGCGTCTATTCCCATCTCTGCCCGTTTTACCTCAGCCCATGGGACCGCTACATCTGGCGGACCTGATAGGGCTGGACACATGTGTGGCCATCATGCGAGTGCTGCATGCGGGATTAGGAGACGCCAAGTACCGCCCCTGCCCGCTGCTCGTGCAATATGTTGATGCGGGGTGGCTGGGTCGCAAGAGCGGGCGTGGCGTGTACGAGTATCCGACACAGGAGGAAGGGGGAAGGGAAGGGGAGGGGGAGGGTGGGGAGAAGGTGGTGAGAGGGAGACAGCTGCCGGGTAGACGGGCTGGGCACTAGTGTTGGCTCATTCTGACGTGTCAAGGGGATGCCCAGAGGATGGTGAGGAGACGCCAAATGCCGCCCCTGCCCGCTGCTCGTGCAATATGTGGATGCCGGGTGGCTGGGTCGAAAGAGCTGGCGCGGCGTGTATGAGTATCCGACACAGGAGAAGGACGGGAGGCAGGGAGGAGTGGAGGGTGGCGAGAAGGCGGTGAGAGGGAGACAGCTGCCCGGTAGGCGGGCTGGGCACTAGCGTTGGTGCTGCATGCAGGGCTTGGGACACAGCGCGGCGTGTATGAGTACCCCAGGCAGGTGGAGGGGGGATGGGAAGGCGAGGTGGAGGGGGCGGGTGGCAAGAAGGCGGTGAGAGGGAGGCAGCTGCCTGGTAGACGGGCTGGGCACCAGCATTGGTGCTGCATGCACGGCACGGCGTGTATGAGTACCCCAGGCAGGTGGAGTGGGGATGGGAAGACGAGGGAGGAAGGGGGGGGGGGGGGAGGAGAAGGCAGTGAGACGGGCTGGGCACTAGCACTGATGCCGCACACAGGGCTTGGAGAAGCCAACCTTGTTGCTCGTGCAGTACGTGGTTGTGGGCTGGCTGGGTCGTAGGACTGGGAACGGCGTCGTGCACGAGTATTTACTAGGATGGGTGTGTTCGGGCGTGCCATGGGGATGCCAAGGGATTGCGTAGGGTATTTTAAGGAGGTCTAAAGAGGTGTTGAAGGCAATGCAGAGGGGTTGACAACTGTGCCACCTTGCAGGTGGTGAATGCAGGCAGGTGTTGGGAGGAAGAGGGTGTAGGTGCAGGAAGCCAGGGCAAGTGGTGGACGGGTTTGTTTGCTGCTGAATTTCCCCATATTATAAGCACAATCTAGAAACGGTGCACACACAACCTATTCGTTAATTGCGTGGACTGCGTTTGGGTTGGCGGTGATGGTAATTTTCGCCGGGTGCGTTTATTGTGAGTCCAAAAAGTGTTTTTTTTTTTTTTTTTTTGCAACGGTGGCCGGCCTTCCGCAACCATTCCTACAGCAACCGGCCTTGTCCCTAGCACGTACACTTGTAACTGGAGCATTTTGCCACCATATTCCTTTGACTCACATTTATCATCAAAAGATATGATGTGGTGTGAGATATACACCCAAATCCCAACACTAATTTGAACGTACACTTTGGGTGACATAACCCCTGGTGAGTATAAGAGGGTGTAGAGTTGCCCAACTGACTCCGTGTTGCTGCGGCACCTGCGTCCCAACCGTCCTTGCTCACTGAATCGCTGCCACATCACTTTCAGCTGGCTTCATCAGCCCACTGGCGACTCTTGCTGAATTGCTGCCGCGTAACTTCAGCTGGCTTCATCAGCCCAGAGGCGGCTCGTCACCGGAATCACAACCGCGTCACTTCAGCTGGCTTCGTTTGTCCCGAGGCGGCTCGTCACTGGAATTACTGCCGCGTCACTGTCAGCTGGCTTCGTTTGTCCCGAGGCGGCTCGTCACTGGAATTACTGCCGCGTCACTGTCAGCTGGCTTCGTTTGTCCCGAGGCGGCTCGTCACTGGAATTACTGCCGCGTCACTGTCAGCTGGCTTCGTTTGTCCCGAGGCGGCTCGTCACTGGAATTACTGCCGCGTCACTGTCAGCTGGCTTCGTTTGTCCTGAGGCGGATTGTGTGCATGGTGGCATACGGTAGTATAAGAGGTGTGGCGTGCACCATGTACATGACACAACTTCTCACGCCGCACCTCCGCTCTGCGTTCACACCTGGCTACGTGTCACCAGGTTTTAATGGGGACCTGATGACGAGGATGTAATGGCGATCGGTTTCCTAATAGGACTGATGTCATTCCATCGTGAAGACGGAAATTTCAGACGGATTTCTAGTGTAGACGGATCAATTCGCGTTGTAATATGGATCAAGTATGGGAGCATCTCCTTCTCTTCTGTTCCTAGATACTGTCCCGCAAGCTCGGAATCTCCTCAAAGCCGAAGGAGCAGGTCGGTCAGTCATCGTTCTCTTCCAAGGCGAAGGACCGCCGTCGTTCCGATCCGATTGCCATCCCTGCAGCCTCAATCACCATCGCGTCCCTTTCCTGGTTCCTGAGACAATCCCCGATCATGATTCCGAGGTACGTTAATTACAAAAGCTTTAAGGTACAAAACAGTATGACTAAAATTCAGTTCTTAACCACTTATCTCTCTGCCCCGTTCGTTTTAATCGTTGCGTGGACCATTTCAACTGCAGCTCCACCCCCGGAGGCACCCCGGAGAGTGCGTCGCATGATGTCGAAGAGTGAGAGGTAAAGTCCCTGCATGTGCTTGTTTGTGGCAGGTAGAGTGGCAGCTGGATTGAGATCAGGAGAGTGAGGGCGGTGGGCGAGGTGAGGAAGGTACATGGAAGGGAGGAGGTGCAGGGGAGGGTAGCGAGTATGTTTGAGAAATTTGTGAGCGTGGTGAATGTTGGTGGCTTTGAGCTGAAGTGAGATAACTTCATTTGATTGGTTTAGTCATTTTGATGTAAATATTACCTCTTGGCTACGTTGTCATGTTCTTTCCGTGCCGTTGCAGACGAAGATTCAGAAGACGGCAGAGTGCATATTGAGTGCCAGCGATGCATCGATGCCAGCGGTGAGTAAAAGTAAGCGCAGCATAAAAGTTATGTAAGGACTCACGTTTGCCTTGAATTGACACTTGTTTTTTTTTTTTCTGTATGGTGGGTGTATGCCTGATTATGATACTTGTTCATTGTCCGTGCCTTGTTGGCATTGAGAGGGAGAGGCAGGCATGAGAGAGGATAGCAGGGGAGGGAGAGGGAAACAGAGGAGAAATTGCCTCTCTTTTTCCTCTGTTTCCCTCTCCTTCTCCTCTGCTATCCTCTCTCTTGCCTGCCTCTCTTTCTCCTCGATTTGTCCCTCCCTCTCCTAAAATTTCCTCACCTTTTCCTCTGTTTTCTACCCCCTCTCCTCCTCTATCCTCTCTCTTGCCTTCCTCTCCTCCTCGATCTATCCCTCCCTCTCTTGAAATTTTCTCTCTTTTTCCTTTATTTCCCTCTCCCTCTCCTCTGCTATCCTCGCCCTTGCTTACCTCTCCTTCTCCTCGATCTGTCAAAAACAAGGAGAGGAGAGCGGAGGAGAGGGAGAGGCGAGCACAGGAGAGTGAAAGGGAAGTAGAGAAGAACAAGAGGCGCTTAAAGAAGATTGAGATGGAGAGGCAGGCATAGAGGGCGAAGGAGGTGGAGGAGATGAAGTCTGAGGACTTGGAGGCAGTGAGGAGGCGAGCACAGGGAATGGTGCAGCAGTTGACAAAAGAGCTGGAAACAAAAGAAAATGCTGAACAGGTGGGCTGACAGTTGATAGGGAGGGGTTGAGTTGGGAGGGAGAGGGTAAATCGGCTGGGAGGGGATGAGTTGGTGGAGAGGGGAGGGAGTGAGTGGCAGAGAGGGAGTGAGTGGCAGAGAGGGAGTGAGTGGCGGAGGAAGTTACTTAGTGGGGAGGGAGAGAGCGAGTGGTAGTGAGAGTGAGTTGGCAGTGAGAGAGGTGATTTGGCAGTGAGAGAGGTGAGCTGGCAGTGAGAGAGGTGAGCTGGCAGTGAGAGAGGTGAGCTGGCAGTGAGAGAGGTGAGCTGGCAGTGAGAGAGGTGAGCTGGCAGTGAGAGAGGTGAGCTGGCAGTGAGAGAGGTGAGCTGGCAGTGAGAGAGGTGAGCTGGCAGTGAGAGAGGTGAGCTGGCAGTGAGAGAGGTGAGCTGGCAGTGAGAGAGGTGAGCTGGCAGTGAGGGAGGTGAGCTGGCAGTGAGGGAGGTGAGCTGGCAGTGAGGGAGGTGAGCTGGCAGTGAGGGAGGTGAGCTGGCAGTGAGGGAGGTGAGCTGGCAGTGAGAGAGGTGAGCTGGCAGTGAGAGAGGTGAGCTGGCAGTGAGAGAGGTGAGCTGGCAGTGAGGGAGGTGAGCTGGCAGTGAGGGAGGTGAGTCTGCGGGGAGAGAGGTAATATTCGAGGTAATAGGGAGGGACTGAGAAAGGGGGAGAGCGATTTAACAAGGGGGGAGTGAGTTAGCTGGCAGGGCAACCAAGGGAAGAAGTAACCTAAAAGAAGGGAGGAGTACTTAGCTGGGGAGAAGCAACCTAGCAGGTGAGGGGTGAGCTAACAGGGAGGAGTGAGATAGTAAGGGAAGGTTGAGCAAGCAGAGGAGGGGTTAGTTATTGTGGGAAGGGTGAGCTAGCAGTGGAGAAAGGTGCATGGAGGAGAATAATGAATTTTGGTAGCTGAATCTTCAATCTATTTTTTGTCAATAGCCGAAGGCAGTGGAAGATGACTCGAGAGAACCTGAAAAAGCTTCAAGTACTGATTTTGAAGCTTCTTCAGGCTCTCTCTTGACTCATCTTCCGCTGCTTTCATTTTTTTTTTTGTTTCTCTCGTTCGCCTTCTCGCAACATAGAGTTTTTGTAGAAAATGTTTCATCCACCCTCATTGTGTGCGTTTTGTCATGTTTTTGCTGCAGGAGATGATAAGGCTCTAAATCTCAAGGAAAGTGATGTATAGGCGATGATAGATGTTGCACGAAACCAAGAAAAGACGAACGACGAAATTCGCAAAAGTTACAAGGCGGCGAAGGCGGAAACAAAGGAGCTCAGGTAAGCATGGGTAGTGTGTTTTGGGGGGTGGGGATTGGTTTGTTTGTTGTGTCAAGCTGGGCGTCATACATTTTTTTTTTTTTTTTTTCAAATGATTCTTTTGACATGTGCATTGAGAATTTTCAACTCTTCTGCCATAGCAATTGTCCGTGCATATTCAACTTCTCGGTTGCTAATATGCTTTTGTTCCTCGAGTCATATGCAGTTTGAAACTTCATGGAACTGAGGACGAGCTGCAAACTCTGAAAAGCAAGAACAGGAGGAGGAGCAGGCAAAGGAGAAGGAGAGAATGTCGGGGGAGAAGGTGAAGGAGGCAGAGGAGAGAGGGACAAGTAGAGGAGAAAAGGAGGTAGGTAAAGGATTCGAAAAGGCAAGCAGAGCAGAAAAAGGCAGAGGACCTGAAGGCATTGAAGAGTCGAGGGGAAAATCTGAAAAAAAGTCTACAAAAGGTACAGCAGATTGTGGAGCTGTATAGGGAGGGCTTGAGGGAGTAGAGAACAGGGAGTGAGTCAGCAGGGAGGGAGGGAGGTGGCAGGGAATTGATGTAAGTTGGCAGGGATTGAGGGAGGTGGCAGGGAGGACATGAGTTAGCAGGGAGGATGGGGATTAGAAGGGAGGGTGTGGGTTAGCAGGGATGGGAGTGCAATACTATAATGCTTACCAATCCTGTACTACCACTATTACTGCAATATTGTTCACTCTACCACCACCTGTTAAGTTACATCTGCAAGTCTGGGCTTGTCACAAAGCTCTTTTTATGGTATATGACAGATTTGTCCTGCTTTTACAATGAAGCATTTTACTGCTCTGCCACACTGCCTGTAGAGAATACTTTTCGCATAGTTGCCTATTAAATTAAGCGAAACCCGCACCACCGCACCACACCCCCCCTCCACTGCACCACTGCACGTAGCACATCTGCAGTTCACAACATGGTAGGACAGTGTAGCAACACAAGCATGAAGCAAGGTTGCCACTTGCTCTTGCATCCTCTCAACCATGCGGGTCAATGTTGGGAAGCCACTCATGAAATCTCAGTAGTACTGTCCTTGGCATATAGACGCTCTGTTGATGCGCCTCAATCTTCTCTTTGACTCGTCAGCAGCCCATCAAATTCATCAGAGCTGTCCTTGGCACATAGGCGCTCTGTTGGTGCATGGCAGGGGAGGGCAGGGGGAGATGCGTCGGTGGTGGGAGGAGGGAAGAGAAACATTTTGCGTCATCGCATCACCCTGCCCAATCTTGTACCTGAATCTCATCAGAGCTGTCCTTGGCACATAGGCGCTCTGTTGGTGCATGGCAGGGGAGGGCAGAGGGAGATGCAACGGTGGTGGGAGGAGGGAGAGTGTGAGAATGCAGGATATGGGGGTGTGAGGCAGAGGCAGAGGCGCTCTGTTGATGCACACATTCATAAGGGTGAGTGCACGTGGCAATTAGAGCACATATGGGAGGAAACGGGAAACGGGACACATACTGAGGTATTCATAGGTGGAGACCATGGCAGTGCCCCAGAGCATGGTGCTGGCACAGCGAGGGGCGAAGCCACGGTACAGCCCTCTCACCCCGTCCTGCTCCACCAGCTGCCTCACCACTGCTGCCACTGTCACTGCTGCCCCGCTCCTGCGCCCCACCTGCAATATGGGGTAGAGGGGTGGACTTGTGAGTGGGATGGTGTGTGTATGATGCACAGCCGTACATTCGGCACATGGACTTGCATGCACGTACACACCACCTGCAGGCACACCCGCATCACCTGAATGCGCGTCTTGATGGTGTCAAGCGGCGTGGTGGCGAGGGCGGATGCCAGCCCGGCCGGCACACATGCCCCTGGCCCACCTGCACGCCCACCACCAGCACACATGCCCCCTCCCACCTGCAGGCACACCCCCTTCACCTGAATGCGCGTCTTGACGGTGTCAAGTGGGGTGGTGGCGAGCGCAGAAGTGAGCCCGGCACACATGCACCCTCCCACCTGCATGCCCACCACCAGTGCGAACAGGGGCGCTGCTGCTGTGTTGCCTGCTGCTGCATGCATACACACACCCCACACACACAATTCACCTGAATGCGCGTCTTGACGGTGTCCAGCGGGGTGGTGGCGAGGGCGGACGCCAGCCCTGCACACATGCCCCCGCCCACCTGCACTCCCACCACCACGAGCAGCGGAGGTGCTGCAGTGTTGCCTGCTGGTGCCCACAACCGGTCGTACGAACTGCAGAGTGATGTGGGGGTGGGAGTTGGAGACGCAGGGGGAAAGGGGAAGGAAGGAGAGGGGCCAGGGGCTGCAGAGGGACAAACGAGCGTGAAGGACAGCAGACACACGTCCCGACTGCGCTTCAGCACCTGCAAAGGGGGATGGGCCAAGGGGAGAAGAGGGCAGGCCAGGGAAACCTAAACCCACGATACAGCCCCTCCCGTCCCTCGTCAGCCCTACAATCTCACGTCTAGACCAGCGATTCCCCTCCTTGACGCCTCACCCTTCCACCAGTCCATTCCCTTGTAACATGCCTTTCCTCTAAAATGAAGCCCCTCACCTCCAGAAGAGGCGTTGCGTGGCGCCATAGGTGCCCCACCAGATGAACCCCGAGGGCGCATACGTGAGCACTGACAGCCCAAACCCGCGGTACAGCCGTGCAGTCAGCTCAGTCCTGACACCTACCTCCACAGCAGCGCTTCCCCTCACCTCACACCTCACCCCTCCAGCAGGTTATTCCCTTTCAGCAAGCCTAAGGTTCAGTCTCACCTCCAGAAGAGTCGCTGGGTGGCGCCATAGGTTCCCCACCAGATGAACCCCGAGGGCGCATACGTGAGCACTGACAGCCCAAACCCGCGGTACAGCCCTCGCGGTCCCTCCGTTCGCAGAATCGTCACGAGTGCGTCAATCCCCCCCTTGTACCGCACTGCCCCCGCCCCTGCGCCTCCCCCTGCTGCCCCCGCCCCTGCCGCTGCTGCTGCCCGTGCTGCTGCTGCTGCTGCTGCTGGTGTGGCAGATGCTGCTGCTGTGGCGGCTGCTAGCGGCGCTCCTGGTGCTGTGGGTGCGGGTCTGGTGGCGTGGTGGGGCAGGTCGCCCTGCTGTGCCACGAGACGAGAGCTGATCTGATGATGGACGAGTGGAGGGATAGGAGAAGGAAAATGATAACATAACGGAGGGGAAAGTTGGGAAAGTTGGGACGGAAGTGATGGGAAGAGAAGAGAAAGGAGGGGCGGCAGGTCGCCCTGCTGTGCCACGAGACGAGAGCTGATGTGATGGCGGGCGAGTGGGAGGAGCGGGTGCAAGGAGCACGGGCACGTGGGAGGGTGGGGCGGGTTGAGACGAAAGGAGAGTGGGGCGGGTAAAGATGAAAGGGGAGGAGAACAAACGAGTGAGAGGGGAGAACAGGAGGAGGTTGGATGAAGGGAACATTATACCCTCCTCCCTCCCTCCCTCCCTCCTACCCCGATCCTCCACTCACCAAACCCCCTGTCCCTCACTCCCCAAACACCCCGTCCCCCATTCCCCAGTCCTTTTGTTCCCCCCACTCACCACGTCCACAGGAACAACAACGGCTTGGGTGGCAAGAGACGCGCACATGCCACCCACCGCACTCGCCAGCCCTGCTGCTGCCATATCAGACAAATGCAGCCACCGCCCTGTGCCGCCCACCACACCGCCACTGCCACCTCTGCTCTCACTCCTCCCACTGCTCCCACCACTGCTGCTGCTGCCGCTGCTGCTGTTGCTGCTGCTGCTACTGCCAGTATCATCAAAAGACCCCTCTATAGTCAGCTCCGTTACCCCCTGAATCCCCTTGAGCGTGTTGGCCTTAACGGCCTCCAGCACGGCCATATAAATGATTCTCCCGGGGAGCATACCAGCAACCACGGTCCCCATGCCGCGGAAGAACCCCCTCACGCCCTCCGTGCGTGCTATGTGCCGCGCCATACCTACTGCTAGAGTTACTGACGATGGGCCTCTGACCCCCGCTGCTCCTCGCGCTGCTCCTCCTGCTGCAGCTGCTCCCCCTGCTGCTCCCCCTGCTGCAGCTGTTGCTCCACTCACCGTTGTTCCACTTGTTCCCGCTGTTACCCGAGTTACTGGTGTTACAGGTGCTGCACCTGTAGTTACCCTTGTGTCTCCGCCTGGTCTTCCCGTGCCCGCTGCTGCCCCTGCGCCGTTTCCCCCAACGCGGGCTTCCGTTCCCCCCACCTCCCCCGCCCGGACTGCTCCCATTCCCCCCATCCCCGCTGCCCCGCTTGCTCCCGCCAGCCCCGCATTGGCCGATGCCTGCGCCGCAGGCCTTGCAGAGCCAGCAGGCGCGCCCGCGCCAGGGGAAGCGGAAGCGGGAGCGGAAGGGGGAGCGGAAGCGGGGGCGGCATGGGCGGCGGAGAGCGGGAGCGGGGAGACTTGGAGGCGCGTCTTGATGACGGAGAGCGGGTAGAGCGCAACGGTCAGCCCGCTGAAGAGCCCCGCGCCCACCACGAACATGCGCGTCTTGTCCAACCTGCCGCGCGCGCGTGAGCGAGATCCGCGGACGGGGGGGAAGGACGGGGGATGGTCGGGGGATGGGGAGGGTTGGGGAAACAAGGTTTTGGAAAAGGAAATGTAGATTTTTGGCGGTCGGAAGACGCGCCAAGAACACATAAACGACGACGGCGGAGGGGCCAAAAGATATACAGACGACGCGGATTGCGCGGGGGAGCTAGACGCGAGGGACGGGCTACGGAGGCGATATGCGAGGTGGGGAGGATCTGGGGGAGGTAGGACGGAGGAGGGAACGAGCGGAAGGGGACGAGCGGGAGGGAACGAGAGGAAGGGGATGAGCGGGACGGGGATCGGTGAACCAGTGGAAGGAGGGAGCGGAGCTGTGGCGAGAGGGCAAGATGGTTGGACGGACCTGTCCCAGTCGATCTCCGGCGATGCGGCGCGAGGACGGAGAGCACCGCGGTCGGGCAGGGACGCCATGGCTGCTGGTGTTGGGTGGCGACGAAACTGGTGTTGTAACTAAAACGGTTATCAATAAATAAAGTTTTGTATCCCGAATGAATGTGACTCCATGGCCCAATGGATAAGGCGCTGGTCTACGGAACCAGAGATTCTGGGTTCGATCCCCAGTGGAGTCGATTAAAATCTTGACTTTTGCTTTTGAAAGCTTGGCCAGATTATCTCACCATCATAACAATATCAACCCTTCACAAATGTCATAGAACCAAGTTAATTCCTCCCAACCCAGACCTACAGCATTACACGACATGACAAGAGCCTATGGAGCAGCTCGAATGAACCCCCTACCCCAATGGTACTCTATCACCCCACCAGCATCCCCAGACTGCCCCAACCCCACATGGGCGGCAGCAGCAACAGAAGAGACATCAATAACGGGCGGCACGAGGGCGGCAGCAGGCGCACCCAGGTGCCACACGCGAATGCCATGCACGCCCGCATTCGCCTTGAGGCTCGCACTGGGAGGGCTGCTGCCACTCACACACGCACTCCCACACGCACTCGCACACGGGCCCGAGTGCGTGGAGTGAGCAGGCGCATGGGTGTGCCTGTTTAAACCTGTGCCAGTGCCGGTGTGCTGACTTGCTCCGTAGCTCACTGCTGGGCTTGCCCCATGGCTCAGTGCCCCATGGCTCACTGCTCCCTGACTCATTGCTCCGTGACTCACTCCTCCGTGGCTCACAGCAGGGCTTGCTGCTGCACGGCTGACTGCGGGGCTTCCAGCACTGTGTTCTGAGGCGCTCAGGCACGGGGTTGCACCGGCGGTGGTACGGTGTGAGTAACCAGCCGCAGCAGTAGTGTCTGGGGTAGGGCCATGAGTAAGAGGTGGTGCGGCTGTGTTGTGGTGGCGACGGTGCTTGGGGATGGGTGCTCCGCCTCCTCCCGTGCTGCCGTGCTTCGTGCCACTCGTGGTCTCCCTCCCTTGCTCATGGGGAGTAAGATGCTGATGAAGGTGCTGGTTGAGATGCTGCTGATCATGATACTGCAGAGCCTCTTGGTAATCATGCAGATTCTGCTGGCGCACTGCAGGCACCAGCACGTCTTCTATTGGAGAGGCTTGTAGCGAGGCACTGGCAGCAGCAGCGCCAGAGCCTTTCCTGCCCTGCTGGTGCTGCCCCCGTCGCACACTGCTCTCCATGCTCATGCTTCGACACACGCTCCTATCCTTCATCCCACCGCTGCTCATGCCTCCAACGATAGGCTCGGCGGTTGGCCCGGCAAGAGGCTCGGCAACAGGGTTTCCTGCAGGTTTGGAAACAAGCTCAGGATTGTGCCACCTAGATTCCATCTGAATGGGATGAAGCTGCTGACTTGGCAGAATCTCTGCTTGATGTGGCAGAATCTCTACCTCACGTGGCTCCAGAGCAGAGGCCTTTCCCAGTGAGCGATTGCACGTGGGGTGAGAGGGCGAGAAGGAGGAGGAGGAGAGCGGGTGCCGAGGCCGTGAGGGAGGACGAGGGGAGGAGGAGGAGAGAGGGGATGGCTGGGACCCCGAGTGGTGGTTGTGGGGGGAAGGGGAGGACGAGAGGGGGGAGTGGCGGGACGAGGGGTGCGGGGGAGGATGGGGAAAGACCCGGTGGGCTGGGGAGGAGCGGTGGCGGGGGGAGGCAAGGGCGCGGGGGGAGGGGGAGCGGAGGTAGAGGGAGCGGGGGGAGGGGGAGCGGAGGTAGAGGGAGCGGGGGGAGAGGGAGCGGGGGGAGGGGGAGCCGGGGGAGCGGAGGCGGCGGGCGGAGGGGGAGAGATTGATGTAGAAAGGCGAGCAGCCCGTGCGACGAGGGGGAGCGGCGGCGGGTAAGGGGGAGTTGATCCAATCCTCTAGGTTTAACAGCGTGTTCATCTGTGCGTTGGGCTCGCCTGCAGCGGACAGAGGGGGGCAGGGGAGGGGGAGAGACGGGCGTGTGAGTGGGGAAGGTCGAGGAGAATCTGTAAGGCGATTCACAGTGTGGGCAAGCACAGGAGTAAGCACAGGAATGGCTGCGTGCAGCAATTATCTTAAAACGCAGAGACGCACCTATCTTGAGAGCAGAGAGGCTGCTACCCGCTCCTGCCACGTCCATGGCTTCTCCAGCTTCCCCTCCGGCCTCCCTGGGACTCCCTGCCGCACGCTCATCGTCGCCACTCGCCATCGCACCAGCAGCAGCAGCGGCAACAGCGGCAGCACCGGTGCCGGTCATGCTGTCAGCCCCATTGTTGTTACCAGCGGCACTGCGGCAACCAGCACAGCGTGCACAGCCGCCCCCACCCCCACCCCCAGCAGCAGCGCCAAGGCCGCTTCCCCCTCCTCCAGAGGAGTTCCGCTGCAGGCGCCTCTGGTGCAGCGACAGCTTCGACTGCCGCTCAGACAAGGACGACGGGCGGCTGCCGGCCGACAGAGGCCGCCCGGAGGAGGAAGAGGGGCGGGCGCGCGGGAGGAGCGGCTTTGCGTGTTGGTGCATGTGGGGTGGCAGGGAGGAGGGGACCGGGAGAGAGGGAGCGGATGCGGGTGCTGCTTCTGTCGCAGGTGGGGTGGGAGTGTTGGTGGTTGTGCTCTTGATTGCTTTCTCCTCACCATTAGCTGCTGCTGCACCAGCTCCGGAAGCGGCAGCGGCATCACCAGTAGCAGCAGCGTCAGCAGCAGCAGCGGTAGCAGGCACAGGGGGAGCATGAGCAAGGGGCTTGTCATCCGTATCTGCCGTGTCATTGGTACATGCAACGTCCGCATGACCACCATGTGCCCCATGTGCCCCATGTGCCCCATGTGCCCCATGTGCCCCAGGAGTCTGAGAACACCCGTGAGTCCCACCCGCACCCGCTGCCATCCCACCCTCATGCCCTGGGCTGCCACTGTTCATGCTGCTGTCACGGCCCCCATCACCATTCGCACCGCTAGCCTGCTTCTCACCCTTTCGGTCTCCATCGTTCTGGTCACCACCAAGGTGGTTACAATCGTCCAGGAGACCACGGGAAGCCACATTCTGCAGCTGTACCTCCTGGTTGCCACTGCTGTGGTTACCAGCATCCTGATTCCCCTCATCCCGAGCCACCCCCTCTCCCCCGTCCCCCTCAAGGCGCGCCCCTCCCCCGCGTGCGCGCAGGCGGGCCTGTCGTTTGAGGTGCAGGTTCCAGAAGTTCTTGACGTCGTTGTCGGTGCGGCCGGGCAGGTGGCGCGCGATGTGCGCCCACTTGTTGCCCACTGCGCGCTGCAGCGCCAGCACCACTCCTGCTTCGGCCTCACTGAACCGCTTGCACCCCTTGCCGCCGTACCTCTGCCAGGGGGAAAGGGGGAATAAGAGGCAGGGAGGAGGTGGAATGAGGGAGGTGGCGCGCGATGTGCGCCCACTTGTTGTCCACCGCGCGCTGCAGCGCCAGCACCACGCCTGCCTCTGGTTCACTAAACCTCTTGCACCTCTTGCCGCTGTAGCGCTGCTAGGGGGTAAGGGGGGGTGGGAGGGGGAAAGGGGGAAGGGTAACAGGGTGGAGGAGAGGGGAGGCACGGAGACAGGCAGTGGTGTCATGGAGACAGGAAGGAAGGGGAGAGGAAATGTGATGCAGTGGCAAGAGCTGGCAGAACAAATTAAGCAACGCAACCCAGACTCGCCTTCTTCAAGTCAACTAAAAGGTGACTGTTTGGGTCGACTCAATCGTGACTACTACCTGCAAGCCCGGCTTGAGCTGGTTGACCCAGCGCAGGCGGCAGCTCTTCCCCGATCTCCTGAGCAGCCCTCTTGCTCTGAGCACGCCCCAGTTGCCGTTCTCAGAACACCCACAAGTGACCATGTGAGCCGACTCACTCACTCACCTCGTCCGAGCCGACTCATAGGCACGGGTAGGGGGACTCAAGCAACGCACCTGCAAGCCGGGTTTGAGTTGGTTGACCCATCGCAGCCGGCAGCTCTTGCCAGGCCGTCGCAACAGCCCGCGGGCTCTGAGCGCGCCCCAGTTGCGCGGCCCGTGGCAGCGCACATACTCCATCAGCACCCCGTCCTCCTCTGGTAACCATGTGCCCTTCGCCAAACCTTTATCCTCCGGGTCGCTGCTGTCGCCGCCCGTCGCCGCCCCGCCGCCGCCCGTGCTGGTGCCGCCGCCCACGCTTGTGCCGCCCATGCTGGTCGTGCCGCCCAGGCTGCAGCTGCTCATTCCTGCGCCTGCCGCCCCGCCTCCACTCATGCTTCCACTCACGTCATACGAGCACGCAGCAGTGGGATCCAGAACACCAGCAGCAGCAGCAGCAGCAGTAGCACCACCACCAACAGCACCAACAGCAGTAGCACCCATAACAGCACCAGCAGCGGCAGCAGCTTGGGAGGGAGGCGAGAAGGCGAGGTCAGCGTCGCGCAGCAGCGCCAGAGCCAGGGCCTGATTCTCCCGCTGTAAGGCCAGGAGATCCGACTCTGGTGACCCAGGGCCTGCCCCACCAGCCCTTGGCGATGCACCACTGCTGGGACCAGCGGTGACCGGAACAGAGGCCGGAAGAGGAGGAGAGAGTGAAGGAAGCACAGGGGTAGAAAGGGCTGGAGTGGTGGAAGCAGGAGTGGTGGTGAGAAGCACATGGCTGCTGCGGCTTCGGTTCATGCCGGTGCCACCTGCTGCTTTTGCGCGCTTGCTTCCTCCCCGTGCGCCCAGTTGAGTCACACGGGGCCTGGCGCTGCTGCTGCTGTGACCCTTGCGCATCCCCACCCTTGCTGCACTCTCACCACCACTGGAACCAGCAGCAGCAGCAGCAGCAGCAGCAGCACCGAAGGTAGCAGCAGCAGCAGCAGCAGCAGCAACGGCCTCAATTGCCTGCAGCTCCTCCGGGAACTCCAGCAAGCCACTCCCTGCAGCGGGCGTCTCCCCCCCCTCACACAACGCAGCAGCCACGCCCTCTCGTCCGCTCTCGCTCGCCCATGCAGCGACCGGCCTGCTGCGGCTGCTGCTGCTGTGGCTGCGCCACATGCCGCACGCCATGGCACCAGCGGTGCTGCTCTCAAGAAAGGGTCCACCCCCCAATGCCAACTCTGCTGTGGCTGTGCTCCCCAGAGGGGCAGCATTGGCAGGCTCCGTGCTGGCCCGAGGGAACAGCATGCGCGCACTTGCATTCACATTCGAGCCGTTCATATTCAAGCCAACACCAGCAGCTGCAGGAGCAGGGGCAGAGTTCCCGAGAGCAGCGGCGCTGGGTGTGGTAGCAGCAGTGGCAAGCGCAGGTACTACGGGCGGCGCAAGGCACAACCCGGGCGGCATCTGAACCAGCTGAGCGCCCTGGCGGCCGCCTCTTCCCCCTTTATAGTCACACGACTGAACCACCAGGGTCCTCCGCTCGGGCTTCAGGTCCGACGGTGGCTTCTGGTCCGCCGGTGGCTTCAGGTCCGACGGTGGCTTCAGGCCCGGCCAAGCCTGTGTGTGAGGCTCGGATTGGAGCAGCAGGTGTTGCTGCTGCTGCAGCTGCTGCTGCAGCTGCTGCTGCTGTAGCATCCACAGATTGGTGGAATCAGGCGCAATGGCGGAATGCGCGTGGCTCAAAACGAGGCCGCTTGTATCGAGTACAGCAGATGAGTCGAGACCAACGATGCTGCTGTGCTGAAGGAAGGAAGCATCACGCGCCTGTGGCTCCTCCCATTGGCCAGCTGAAGCGCCATGGTTGCTACCAGCAGGCAAGGCGCCATTGTGAATGGCATGAGCACTGGCATGAGCACTGGCCTCATAATCATACCCCAGGGGCTGCGTCCCGTTATAAGCCGCCTCAAGAAGAGCTCCGTCCGTATGGCCTTGGCCGCCGACGCTGGTAATGCGGTTGTCAATGTCAGACCCCATAGCGCCGGGGCCGCACTGGCCTTGCCCATACACCATGCTCCCGTCATTCAGCCCGCCATTTCCGCCGCCATGGCCGCCGCCATTGCCGCCGTAAGTACCGCCACCCAGGAGATCTTCCAATGACGTGCCGCCCAGCAGCATGTCACTCGCGCCGCCCACATGAAAGTCGCCACCGCCCAGGAAAACGTCGTTTGTGCCACCCAGGGTGGCGTCCGCGCCGCCCAGAAGCATGGCCATCATGCTGAGGGTTCCCTGCGGGTCGTCCGCGGCTTCCCATTGGTCCACGTCATCCGCCATGGCCATCTGTAGCGCCTCCATCGACATTGACATTGCCGTGCTGCTGCTCCCCTCCATTGTACGCGAGCCGCGCTTAACGTGCGTTGACGGAGATTGACGGAACCTGACGGAGTTTGACGGAGGTCGACGGAGGCCGTTGAGGGCGACCGTTGATGGACTGAGACCGTTATCGGAAATCGCCGCCGGAGCTGACGGATTCTGTTTCAGATTGAAGGAGAATGTGTGGCCGTACTTGAAATCTCCGCGAATCGGTGAGGAGGAGGAGGCAGGGCAGTGAATGTGCGAGGCTCGTGAATGACGTCCCTGAGGGATGTGCTGATGTTGCGCGCTGCGTATAATCACGGATGTCGATCCACACAACTCGTGATCACGAACCTCGGGTGGGCTGCTACTATGCGGATTTCACGCGCCGCCGGCGATTGTGAACGATGATCGGTAGAGGCTAATTTGTTCTTGCAAACGCTTGTAGTATGACTGAAGTAAAAGATGAACGAGGCGAGGAACGAGAGTGAAGGAAGGAAATGTTCGTACTACTAGCTCTGGGGGGAGGGTCGTGCGTGCGAGGCTCGCTTTGCTCCGCCGTGTTGTGCCGTCGGGCGACTATAATCAAGCGGAAGCGAAGCTCCGCCGCAGCGGAGGCGGCGCAAGGCGAAGGGGGGAGCTGACGGCCTTTCGTCCCCCGCGCGCGTGTGCGCGCGCGCACTACAGCGCACCCAGGGTGGCGGGGAAGAGGCGTGGGCAGGGCAGCCGTCGGTCCGTGCTAGGGTGCAAAGGCGTGAATCTCGCTAGCATCCTCCTCACTTGCGCAGCTACGCAGGCAAAAAAGACATCGGCGTAGTAATACTGTACAGCGCCTGGTTGATCTTCAGCGCTTCAGGTCAAGACGAGTCAAGACTCACAACTTAAGATCAGATGAGTGGTGTTGGCTTGACCCCCCCCCCCCCCCCCCTCCTGTGAGCATTAACTGCCTCAGCCTCGGCACGGCCTGCCAGACTCGGCACTGTGGTGCCGCGGGCAGACAACTGCCGAACCTGCACGGATGGTTCGAAGAGGAAAGGCAATCGGTCGGTGGTGCTGCTTGTAAACGCCAATATTCGCCTGTGGGAAATCGATATCGGGAGATATTATCTTGCTTTTTGCAACAGTGACGCAAGAAAAATATCTGGGCGTCAAGTTCAACTTGACTCTGCTCCTTAGCTAAGTACAGAAAAGCACTGTACGAAATTGCACTGTACTGCACTGTACCGGCAATGCGTTTCTACTAGAAACGATCGTCTGGCGGAATCGCGATCGCGCGTTTTGCGGAAGGGGACGAACGAGGAGGGACACTGCTACAGAAGGGATGAAGCGCCGCCATTGGAGGATATTAAGGTTGCGCGTGGCTGACCGACGGTGCAAGCGACAAAGATCCGGCGCTCCTCCCCTTCCCTTTTATCCCCACGCATCTGCGCTCCTCCCCTTCCCTTTTATCCCCTCCCCAAGCATCTGCGCTCCTCGTTCCTCCTCGTTCTCGCCTACCCTCACCCTCTCCTTTCCTACCTAGTAGAACGAGAAGATGCGGGGGCGGTTCAGGAGGGGGAACGAGAAGATGCGGGGGCTTTTGAGATGTCTCAAAAGAACGAAAAGATGCGGGGGTGGGAGAAGGTGTGTGGTCCGAACAAAGAGACACGAAAAGAGGAGGGGGGGACGGAAAAAGGGTGAAAAAGGGGCGGTTGTACGGGAAGTGGGGGGGAGGAAGAGGAGGGAGTGAGGCCACGTGGCGTTGCTCCACCAAGGCTCGCATCCTTTGTAGAAGGGTGTACTGTACCCAGTACAAAGACAATAGCGGGGCTGCAATTAAAGGGAGTGAGGGGTGCACGCACGTGAAACGGAAGCGGTGTTCCCCGTGCAACAAGGGCAGGATTCAGAGAACGCTGCATCGTACAACTTGAAGGCGCAAATACTGAGTCCGTCCGTGCATTGCACTGTAAAAGGCTCAACGAGGGCTTGTCTCTCGAAGCTCGAAGCTCGAAGCCGTGGAATGGCAGCCAGCATTCTTGCTGCATCGCCGCCTGGCACATTAGCGTACAGCTCCCTGTTGGTCGCTGCTTCCAGCCAGGGCCACGCTGCACTATGCTACGTGTGCGTCACCCACCGTACAGTACCGAGCTTATAACACTCACCGCAACACTGTACCCAGGGATTTACTGTACGTATGTTGGGAACGATTTTATAGTGCCCACACATTCGGACTGTCACCACCCGCTTTTGGAGCTGGGGCTCCAACCACCCTTGCCCCTTTTACGGAGGACCTCGGGAACGCCGACGTCATACTGTACTGCAGCCAGAAGGAGGGGCTGTACACCTGATGCCTGTTTGAGCCCCTCCCGGTTGCCTTACGAAGGGGGCGTATAAGCTGTCACGAGCATTTCGCATAAGTTTCGGCAATTCGCAGCTAGCTAAAAATGATTCGCATGTGCTTATAAACAAGATCTGTAACCTAGTTTGACTTCAGTCTCCTCTGCTTGACTTCGGTCTGTACCTAGTTTGACGTCGGTCTGTTCGTTACTACTGGTTGATAACCACGCGACGCGCTTGTAATGTAGGTGCATGAAGCTGGGGAAACAACCTCGGGTGCAGCGTATCCATCTGGCGCAAGGCAAATTCGCGTGCATGGGGTGAGCATCAGCTGTAGCATGGTAGCTCTTTGGCCCCTCGTGGGCAGCATTCTGCAGCCAGCTTATGATGAGTGACTTGTCCGCACGCGCAGCCTGGATGCATTCATTCACATAGAAGAAACGAACTTGAGCGGTCTAGTTGGCAGCAGTGAGAGAAAGAAATGAGTTCTTTGCCCCGGCGGGAAACGACAGCGCGTCAAGGCATGTAGCACTTGGACGGCCACGTCGCGCCAAAGTCGAAAGAGGGATGCCGCGATCCGCTGGACTTCTAACAGTGATTGGATCTAAGGCATGAGGTAATTAGGCGAATCAGCGACGTCTCTGAGGGGAACGAGCAGGAAGCAAGAAACTACAAATTGAGAAGGGTGCAATTGGAAAAACATTATTGTTGGCAGAGCTTTGCTGTGGAAGAGGAGCTGGGGCGAGGGAGCAGTTTGCAACGAAAGTAACTGTGGGTAAGAGGGGAACGAGTGGGGGGGCATGTGGGTGAAAACGGTCCCAAAGGGGGTGAGGTTTCGAGAAGGATGGGGTGGGGAAACTTAGGGGTGCGCGAGGTTGAGTGAGTGGTGCTGCTGAGCCGAGAGGAGAGATTTGTGCACAGCACACTGCACCAAGATTGCACGACCGAGTCGCGTGGAATGCGCGGCTCGGATCTCTTCTTGTCGTGTCGTGATGCTGTGCTGGCGGTGAGGGAAAGAAAAAAACCTCAATTCGGGTTTAGCCACAAATCGGTAGCCACGTTGGCGATGTGTGTCCGTGTGAGGGATAGGTTGACTGAAAGCAAGTACGAATCAAGCAATCGCAACGTGCCACCTGGATAAGCTGAGTGTGAACCTGTGCCCCTTCAGCTTCCGTGAGTCTGCTGCGGCCGTTGTGCAACCGTCACATTTGGCATCAATGGACTTCGTTATATTTATTTACTCTGTACAATACAATAGTCTAGTCATCCTTCATTCCCTTAACCTAGTTATTCAACTCTGTTAACTCATATAACAACATAATTTGCACTAAAGCTGGTCCCACGAGTTACAATTTTCACATATAATTAAACACATTTTCTTGTGGCCTTTAAAAGCATGTGCCTCTAACCATGTGTTCCTCCATATCAAAACATTACTTTGGTATATGTGTGCGATGCTTGCTCTATGGAGCCCAGCCTCGTCAATGCCACATCAATCCTCTGTTGGCGGGACTAGCGCATCCTTGGGGGTCAATACAGCTACGCCACCTTGTTTGGAGCCACCTAGCTTGGAGCCACCACGCATCATGGCAACTGTCGAAGGAAGCACTACACCTCTACACTCTCCAAATCCAATCATCACACCATGAGGCAACTGGGGAGGGGAAAGACAGTCGGCAAGGGGGAGAGGAACGATGACGGGAGGAATTCTGGGAACAAGATAACATACACAAGGGATGACAGAAACGGACGGCGATACAAATCGACCGACACGAAGTGGCGATGTAATGTACATCTCGTAACAAGAACAGGGGATAATACCAACGAGTGATTACGGCAACAAGCAATGACACGAGGCACGGAGTGCAAAGCACCTGGCAGGTAGCTGACATGATGACCTCATCCCCATCCTCCAGGTACGTTCGTCGCACAATCCCCGGGCCTAAGCTTTGGCCGGAGGCTCGGGAAGAGTCATTGTCAACAACTGTACATCCTTGAGGGGACAGCTGTAGTGTGAGTTTGCCTGCCTGTGTTCTCTCTAGCAGACACCCCTCGCTGCCCTCTGCCTGGGACCGGGGGCAGCGACAGCAGGGGATGACGCATGCATATGGAAGGAAAGCGGGTGCGGAAGCAGGTGTTTGGGAAGGACAGCTCGAGGGTGAGTTTGCCTGCCTTTGTTCTCTCTAGCAGACACCCCTCACTGCCCTCTGCCTGGGACCAGGGGGGCAGCAGCAGCAGGGGACGGTGCATGCACACATGCACATGGGAAAGACAGGGGATGGAGGAGCGGGTGGTTTGATACGTCTCAAAACCGTACATCCCTGGGCAGTAAGGCAGGGAGGGAGGAAGGCAGGAGGAGGAGGAAATGGTGTCTGAGGCAAGCAGGTTAAGTTCTGAGGCAAGCAGGTTAAGTTCTGAGGCAAGCAGGTTAAGTTCTGAGGCAAGCAGGTTAAGTTCTGAGGCAAGCAGGTTAAGTTCTGAGGCAAGCAGGTTAAGTTCTGAGGCAAGCAGGTTAAGTTCTGAGGTGCCTCACGGCAATGCAGTGAGAAGGGCGGGACTCAGCAGGGCAGGCAGGAAGGCAGGAAGGCAGTGCGGAGGCTAAGGAGCGCGGGCGAGACTGACCGGGCCGGAGATGGTGCCCGAGGCGAGCAGATCGAGCTATGGGGCGCCTCAAATGATAAGGTGAGAAGGCCGGAACTCAGGGGGGCAGGCAGGAAGGCTGCAGCAATGGCGTGAGTGGGACTGACCGGGCCAGAGATGGTGCCCGAGGCGAGCAGATCGCCCGGCCGCAGGGGGCAGCCGTTGATGGTGTGATGCGCCACCTGCTGTGCCACCGTCCAGTACCTGTGCGGGCAACCAGGAAAAGGAGTGCGGAGAGGAGAAGTGGGTAACAGGGGAGGGGTACATTCATGATGCAACTAAAAAAGGGGCAGCCGTTGATGGTGTGATGTGCCACCTGCTGCGCCACCGTCCAGTACCTGTGCAGGCAGTGAAACAGGAAAGGCAGGGGTGGGGGGAAGAGGAGGAAGAGCGGGTGAAGAAAAAAGTGTGGACTCTAGAGTTGCCTAAAAAAAGGGCAGCCGTTGATGGTGTGATGCGCCACCTGCTGTGCCACCGTCCAGAACCTGCGTGGACAGCCGGGCACGGGGAAAGAGGAGACGTGGAAGAGTGGAGGAGGGGCGGGTGAGGTGCCCCTGCATCTACCCATGCGTCTACCCATGCATCCACCCATGAATCCACCCATGCATCCACCCATGCATCCACCCATGCATCCACCCATGCATCCACCCATGCATCCACCCATGCATCCACCCATGCATCCACCCATGCATCCACCCATGCATCCACCCATGCATGCACTTATGCATGCACTTATGCATGCACCCACGCATGCACCCACGCATGCACCCATGCGTGCACCCATGCATTCACCCATGCATTCACCCATGCATGCACTTATGCATGCACCCATGCATGCACTCATGCGCACAAGGTACTGACAAGTGTTTAAAGTTGCTGCAGCACACGGGGACAGGCGGCAGCCTCTGGGAGAGTGAAGCGTCCCCAGCAGCAGAGGGAGGGAAATCCAGAGCTTCAGGGGAGAGGAGGGCGTGCGGGCAAGGGGGCATGGGCGGAGGGACGACTGGAGGGACCGCTGGTGTGGCGGATGGCGCGGGGGATGGTGTGGTTTCTGGGGGTACCGATGGTGTGGAGGGAGGTGGATGCGATGTGGCGGCAGGGGCAGCAGTGGAGGGAGGTGCGGAGGGAGCAAGGAAGACCTGTAGGGAAGGGGTGGCAGAGAGGAGGCAGAGAGGAGGCAGAGAGGAGGCAGAGAGGAGGCAGAGAGGAGGCAGAGAGGAGGCAGAGAGGAGGCAGAGAGGAGGCAGAGAGGAGGCAGAGAGGAGGCAGAGAGGAGGCAGAGAGGAGGCAGAGAGGAGGCAGAGAGGAGGCAGAGAGGAGGCAGAGAGGAGGCAGAGAGGAGGCAGAGAGGAGGCAGAGAGGAGGCAGAGAGGAGGCAGAGAGGAGGCAGAGAGGAGGCAGAGAGGAGGCAGAGAGGAGGCAGAGAGGAGGCAGAGAGGAGGCAGAGAGGAGGCAGAGAGGAGGCAGAGAGGAGGCAGAGAGGAGGCAGAGAGGAGGCAGAGAGGAGGCAGAGAGGAGGCAGAGAGGAGGCAGAGAGGAGGCAGAGAGGAGGCAGAGAGGAGGCAGAGAGGAGGCAGAGAGGAGGCAGAGAGGAGGCAGAGAGGAGGCAGAGAGGAGGCAGAGAGGAGGCAGAGAGGAGGCAGAGAGGAGGCAGAGAGGAGGCAGAGAGGAGGCAGAGAGGAGGCAGAGAGGAGGCAGAGAGGAGGCAGAGAGGAGGCAGAGAGGAGGCAGAGAGGAGGCAGAGAGGAGGCAGAGAGGAGGCAGACGGGAGGCAGAGAGGAGGCAGAGAGGAGGCAGAGAGGAGGCAGAGAGGAGGCAGAGAGGAGGCAGAGAGGAGGCAGAGAGGAGGCAGAGAGGAGGCAGAGAGGAGGCAGAGAGGAGGCAGACGGGAGGCAGAGAGGAGGCAGACGGGAGGCAGAGAGGAGGCAGAGAGGAGGCAGAGAGGAGGCAGAGAGGAGGCAGAGAGGAGGCAGAGAGGAGGCAGAGAGGAGGCAGAGAGGAGGCAGACGGGAGGCAGAGAGGAGGCAGAGAGGAGGCAGAGAGGAGGCAGAGAGGAGGCAGAGAGGAGGCAGAGAGGAGGCAGAGAGGAGGCAGAGAGGAGGCAGAGAGGAGGCAGAGAGGAGGCAGAGAGGAGGCAGACGGGAGGCAGACGGGAGGCAGAGAGGAGGCAGAGAGGAGGCAGAGAGGAGGCAGAGAGGAGGCAGAGAGGAGGCAGAGAGGAGGCAGAGAGGAGGCAGACGGGAGGCAGAGAGGAGGCAGAGAGGAGGCAGAGAGGAGGCAGAGAGGAGGCAGAGAGGAGGCAGAGAGGAGGCAGAGAGGAGGCAGAGAGGAGGCAGAGAGGAGGCAGACGGGAGGCAGAGAGGAGGCAGAGAGGAGGCAGAGAGGAGGCAGAGAGGAGGCAGAGAGGAGGCAGAGAGGAGGCAGACGGGAGGAAGGGGTGAAGAGGAGGTGATGACGATTGGTGAAAGCGTACCTAAGAAGATGCAGATAAGACAGACAGAAAGGAAAGAGGGTGGGAAAGGGGGGAGGAGCGGTGCAGCAGGTGCGTGCTGTGCTGTGCAGGGAGTAGATCTAAGCAGTGACTTATGAGTCGACTCACAAGTCACTTCTGTGCAGGGAGTAGATCTTTCTAATAAAATCAAATCCACACCGAATGAAGCCCACTAAGTTCCTTGCATCTGCACACGCACCTCTATCACACCTCACGCTGGCCCACGCACAAGCCCACACGCCAACTCTTCCCCCTCTCCACACTTTTCCTTCCCAAGCAGTGCTTGCCTGCAAGTGAATGTCCAAGGTGATCGGGTTGGGCTCCTGGAGGTACGGCAGTGGCTCTGGGTCCTGTGCGGTGGGGGGCGGTTGGTAGGGTGGGAAGCGTGATTGGAGCGGTGAGGAGTGGTGGCAGCGACAGGGGTTATGCAGCAAAGCAGACGAAAGCAGGAAGGGAAGAATCACGCTGTACAGGAGTGTTGCTATGTTGAAGGCAAGGGACTAGAGTTGTGCATTTTGAGGAGAACTCTAGTTCTGCATTTTGACGCAGGGACTACAGGAGAAAACATATAGGCAACTATGTTGAACGGAAGCAACTAGAGAACAGATACAGAGGTGGAAGTGGGAGGGGTTTGAAAGTGGAGCTGGAAACGACAAGAAGGGCACCTGAAGGGGAGGGCAGAACCTGAGGGGGCGGGGAGCAGATGAAGGGGCGGAGAGCATCCATCGTGACGACCCAGGGGGATATGGTGGTGGCTGCATGAACATGGCTCGGGCGGGGGAGGAAAATAGGTGGATTTACGGCCCATGCAGTGAATACATAGGCGAGTAGGAATACACATGCAGGCCCGGATACACACTGTAATGTGCGGAACGCGCCATGCTGTGCCATACCCATGGCAGCTGGCAGCAACACTTAGAATATCAAACGCACGCTTATTCAAGTGTTGCTGCCATGCTTATTCAAGAATATCAAACGCACAGCCCCCGCCGAGTTCCAGTCCCCACTTGTACCACGTCCCCCCACATTGACACAGCACTCTAACCAAAGCACCCCCCTAACCCCCCCTCCACTGACCCAAGTCCCCCACCCCTTCACCACTCACCACGTCCTCCCCAACCCCCTTCACCACTGACCGAAGTTCTTTCCCAGGAAGGGCCCGAGTGGAACATACTCCCACCGCTGGATGTCCCTCGCTGCAGCCAAAAGGGGGAGACGAGCAGGTGGGGGGGGGGGGGGAGGGTGGAAGGAGGAGAGCAGTGTGAGAGCTGGGCGGGAGGGTGGGCGTCCGAGAATGCTGCTATGTTCACTGCATGACTTGTAGTTACAAGTCATTGTTCCTGGCGTTACATCTCACAATGTCAGTCGTTACATCTCACCGCTCCAGTCGTTACAGATGACCATGCCAAAGCAGCAGTCCAGCGCCCTCTCCACAGGAATGCTCTCGCCCCTCTCGTTGCCCGGCCCCATCAACACTGCCTGATGTGCCGAGGTGGATGAGCAGGGTGTGGAAGGGAGAGGGGTGGGTTGGCAAGGGGAGGGTGAGCAAGGGGAGGGTGGGCAAGGGGCAGACGGTCAAGTTGTGATACGCATCAAACCAAACCAGCGCCCTCTCCACAGGAATGCTGTCGCCCCTCTTGTTACCCGGCCCCATCAACACTGCCTGCGGCACATGGTGTGGGGAGGAAACGGGCGGAAGGATACTATGCTTGAGGCGCCCAGTAAAATACCTTCATAGGAATGCTCTCGCCCCTATCATTGCCTGGTCCAAATAACACTGCCTGAGACACGTGCGGTGGGCGGGTGGGCAAGGGTTGCGTTGGTCGGGCATGAGGCGCTCAAAACCACTTTCCACAGAAATGCTTTCGTCCCGCAGTTGCAATTGCAATGCTCATACCACTTTTGAGAGCACTAACAGAGGATGCAAGTGAGACTGTGCCACGCCCCACTCACCATCTCGAGCTCAAAATCAAGCTGCTGCGTGGGGCCGAAGAGAGGGGCGAGGGGCGTGGTAGACGAGGCCGGTAGCCCCAACTGACCCCTGTGTAGGGAGTGGTGGCGAGAAGAGGGACGAAGAAGAGGTCGGTGAGGGGTGAGGGAGGGGTGGAGAGTGGAGACGGAGAGGGGACGGTGCGATTTGAATCTTGAAAAATGTCTTCCCATTCGACCATCAGCTGCTGATGAATGCAGAGACGATTTGTGTTGCTGACGGTTGTGTGCACCAACACGTGGTGCCTGTCTGTTGGTCTTCCACCTGAATCACTGTGGTTTTATCTGAGCCACTGTGCTTTTCACCTGAGCCGCTGTAGTTTCCACCTGGGCCACTGTAGTTTTCACCTGCGCCACTGTGGTTCTCACCTGGGTCGCATGATGGGAGTACCGGAGACCACAACAGACGACGACCTGCCATGGTATGCAATGGGCATGTGCAACCTGGTAGGCCATGCCATGCCATGCCATGCCATGCCATCCCACGATAAGCCATGGCACACCAAAGCACAGCACGCCATGGCATCATGGGAAGAGACAAGGGTAAGGTGAAAACCATGGTGGCTCAGATAAAAACCGTCCACCCACAAGCGTGAGTGCGCATGTTGACTTGACTCGGGTCCCACCCATCCAGCACCACTCTACACCTCACCCCACCACCATCCACCCACCACTTCCCTGCCATCCCTAACCAGCGTGCCAACATCCAGCTCAGTGAAACCACGTCTCGTGTAGAGAGGTTGTTTTTGAGACGTCTCAAAAACACCCTCTCTACACGTGGCTATTCACCCCCAATCAAATCCCCTCTCCCCGCCCATGCCCCTTTCTCCCCCTACTTCCCCCTCCTCCCTGCAATGCTCACCACTGGGGCCCTGTCCCTCACCACTGGGGTGGCAGCTCGTTGCTGGGCTCGCGAAAGAGGTGACCCACGGTTTTGGCGTGGTGGCCGGTGTGACCCCTTCCCCCCCCTCCTTCCCCCCCCTCCTCCCCCCCCCTCCTCCCCCACCTCCTCCCCCCCCCTCCCCCCCCTCCTCCCCCCCCCTCCCCCCCCCCCTCCTTCCCCCCCCTCCTCCCCCCCCCCTCCTCCCCCCCCCTCCCGCATGCCGCTAACCACCACACCTCACCACTGCTTGGGCAGCTCATTGTCGGGCCCTCGGAAGAGGCGCCCCACGTTGGTGGCATGGTGGCGGGAGGCGTAGAAGTCCGTGTAATCGCCGATCACTGCTGGTAGTTCCATGCTCACACGCGCCTGGGAGGCAAGGACACACAAAGGGGGGAGCATAGAAGGGGGAAAGCACGAGGCATGGTGGCGGAAGGCATGGAAGTCCGTGTAATCGCCCACTACTGCTGGTAGCTCCATGCTCACACGCGCCTGTGAGAGATTGGGGAAGGGAAGCAGGGGCGATAGGGAGGGTGGTGCATGGAGAGCTTGGAGGCATGGTGGCCGGAGGCATAGAATTCCGTGTAACCACCCACCACTGCTGGTAGTTCCATGTGCACCTGTGCCTGGGAGGATGGGGATGGGGAGGGGGAAGGGTGGGTACACGGTGGTGGTGGGAGGTGCAGAATTCCGTGTAACCACCCACCACTGCTGGCAGTTCCATGTGCACCTGTGCCTGGGGCGTGGGAATGGGAAGCATGGGCGAGAGGGAGGAGGGGCGATGGCGAGTTTGGTGGCGGGAGGCGTAGAAGTCCGTGTAATCGCCAATCACTGCTGGCATCTCCATGTGCATACGCGCCTCAGGCATGGGGAGGAGGGAACATGGCGGGGAGGAGGGAACATGGCGGGGAGGAGGGAACATGGCGGGGAGGAGGGAACATGGCGGGGAGGAGGGAACATGGCGGGGAGGAGGGAACATGGCGGGGAGGAGGGAACATGGCGGGGAGGAGGGAACATGGCGGGGAGGAGGGAACATGGCGGGGAGGAGGGAACATGGCGGGGAGGAGGGAACATGGCGGGGAGGAGGGAACATGGCGGGGAGGAGGGAACATGGCGGGGAGGAGGGAACATGGCGGGGAGGAGGGAACATGGCGGGGAGGAGGGAACATGGCGGGGAGGAGGGAACATGGCGGGGAGGAGGGAACATGGCGGGGAGGAGGGAACATGGCGGGGAGGAGGGAACATGGCGGGGAGGAGGGAACATGGCGGGGAGGAGGGAACATGGCGGGGAGGAGGGAACATGGCGGGGAGGAGGGAACATGGCGGGGAGGAGGGAACATGGCGGGGAGGAGGGAACATGGCGGGGAGGAGGGAACATGGCGGGGAGGAGGGAACATGGCGGGGAGGAGGGAACATGGCGGGGAGGAGGGAACATGGCGGGGAGGAGGGAACATGGCGGGGAGGAGGGAACATGGCGGGGAGGAGGGAACATGGCGGGGAGGAGGGAACATGGCGGGGAGGAGGGAACATGGCGGGGAGGAGGGAACATGGCGGGGAGGAGGGAACATGGCGGGGAGGAGGGAACATGGCGGGGAGGAGGGAACATGGCGGGGAGGAGGGAACATGGCGGGGAGGAGGGAACATGGCGGGGAGGAGGGAACATGGCGGGGGGGAGGGAACATGGCGGGGAGGAGGGAGCATGGCGGGGGGGAGGGAACATGGCGGGGAGGAGGGAGCATGGCGGGGGGAGGGAACATGGCGGGGAGGAGGGAGCATGGCGGGGGGGAGGGAACATGGCGGGGAGGAGGGAGCATGGCGGGGGGGAGGGAACATGGCGGGGAGGAGGGAGCATGGCGGGGAGGAGGGAGCATGGCGGGGAGGAGGGAGCATGGCGGGGAGGAGGGAGCATGGCGGGGGGGAGGGAACATGGCGGGGGGGAGGGAACATGGCGGGGAGGAGGGAGCATGGCGGGGAGGAGGGAGCATGGCGGGGGGGAGGGAACATGGCGGGGGGGAGGGAACATGGCGGGGAGGAGGGAGCATGGCGGGGAGGAGGGAACATGGCGGGGAGGAGGGAGCATGGCGGGGGGGAGGGAACATGGCGGGGAGGAGGGAGCATGGCGGGGGGGAGGGAACATGGCGGGGAGGAGGGAGCATGGCGGGGGGGAGGGAACATGGCGGGGAGGAGGGAGCATGGCGGGGGGGAGGGAACATGGCGGGGAGGAGGGAGCATGGCGGGGGGGAGGGAACATGGCGGGGAGGAGGGAGCATGGCGGGGAGGAGGGAACATGGCGGGGGGGAGGGAACATGGCGGGGAGGAGGGAGCATGGCGGGGGGGAGGGAACATGGCGGGGAGGAGGGAGCATGGCGGGGGGGAGGGAACATGGCGGGGAGGAGGGAGCATGGCGGGGGGGAGGGAACATGGCGGGGAGGAGGGAGCATGGCGGGGGGGAGGGAACATGGCGGGGAGGAGGGAGCATGGCCGGGGGGAGGGAACATGGCGGGGAGGAGGGAGCATGGCGGGGGGGAGGGAACATGGCGGGGAGGAGGGAGCATGGCGGGGGGGAGGGAACATGGCGGGGAGGAGGGAGCATGGCGGGGGGGAGGGAACATGGCGGGGAGGAGGGAGCATGGCGGGGGGGAGGGAACATGGCGGGGAGGAGGGAGCATGGCGGGGGGGAGGGAACATGGCATGAAAAGCAGGAAGATCACTCAGTGCTTGGTTGGTTGGTTGGTTGGTTGGTCTGCAAGAAGACAGCACAAGCTTTCAAAGGCACCATAGATCCCACCTGAGCGCGGAACGCACTTGGTGGCACCCCACCTGAGGAAGCAAGGCCTTGGCGCGCAGAGGCTTGTTGTCTCTCAGTGCTGGCTCGTCCGCTGATGTCAGCAATGCCATGCCATGCGGTACATACATGCATGCATGGGTGAGGCAGCGATGCCATGCAGTGCACAGGCAGGTGAGTGGGGGAACGTTGCTGGTGAGAACAGCATAGATGCACGGCATGGCATGGCATGGCACTAAGTCATGGCCATGATGGCATATGCATATGCAAGGCACATAAGCGTGCACAGCAGCAGAACCACAATGGGTAAGTAAGCAAGGTTGCATGGCACTAAGTCACCAAGCTCAAAAACAGGCGGTTCCAACAGAAGCATCTGAAAATAACGTGGGCGTTTCTACCAGGTGGTTGGTCAGGTGGTTTCACCAGAGAGCAGGCGTTGGAGGGCAGTGCGAGTGCGTTGCCACACGGGGCGGCCCAGCGCCATGAACGCGTTCAGCGATGGCTGGAGGGGAGAGGTACGTGGAGTGTGCGGGGTGTGTGGAGTGTGCGGGGTGTGTGGAGTGTGCGGGGTGTGTGGAGTGTGCGGGGTGTGTGGAGTGTGCGGGGTGTGTGGAGTGTGCGGGGTGTGTGGAGTGTGCGGGGTGTGTGGAGTGTGGAAGAGAAAGGTGGAAAGAAAAAGGGTACTGCAGGTGGCCCAGCGCCGTGAACGCATTCAGCGACACCCGCCGTGACATAGCTTGACCTGTGCGACAATCTCGCCTGTGCGACTCTCTACATGGTGGAAGCAGGCCGTGCCTTTGACTTCGTCGCCCACGCCCCTCAGCAGTCCCGCATCCGCCACCCACCACCGACACCCTCAGCAGTCCCGCGTCCGCCACCCACCACCGACAGGCCCTGAACCTGCTCGCCGATCGTCCGTGCAATCTCTCACCTGTGCGACCCTCTCGCCTCCTGTGCGACTCGCCCGTGCGACTCTACCTGGTGGAAGCAGGCCGTGTCGCTAACCACGTCGCCCACGTCCCCCAACAGCCCCGCGTCCGCCACTACCGACAGGTCCAGAATCCGTAGTAGCTGTTTCATGAAAACTCTCAAGAAGCACCTTGACAGAACTCCAACTCAAAAGAACTATACCTGGTGGAAGCAGCCTGTGTCCTTAACTTCGTCGCCCACATCCCCCAGCAGCCCCGCGTCCGCCACCACCGACAGGTCCAGAACCTGCTCGCCGATCGCCACGCCCACTCGTGCCGAGCCTCCCGGTGAGGGTCGGAAGACGCCGAACGGCAGGTTCTGGATCGGAAAGTGGCAGTTGGGAGGCACGGGGACGAACGAGGCTAGCGGCACGGCCGCCATGATACCAAGTCGCGGCAGAGGGGCGCGCTTAATTTCTGAGACTAGCGGCTACTAAGCGACACAAGAGCAAAGGGCTTCTGGAAAGAATCTCGTTATAGGAGGAATCGCTATTCTTGATGGTCCTTCCAGCAAGGCAGACGGTGCCACCGCCTCAGTGGCTGGACGCAACGCAGTGGGTAAAGGCACAGGCAGCTGCTGTCACCGCAGTGACGGAGCTCGAATAGCGTTCTCACAGATGTGAACTGCACTGAACGCTCTGACCACGTAAATTTGCGAATCGGACTGCACTGAATCGCTTTCCCTGAAAATCGGACGCGCAATGTTACGATATTTCGACGACTGTCAGACTCGACTCTCGAGGCACAATCGGTTTGCTTGCTAGCGCTGGCCTTCTCAAGGCACCTCGAACTCTACGCGCCTGTTGAGCATTTCTGTTATCATCGTAGGATGTCATCGAAGATGTGGCCTTGTCAGGATGTCATGGTGTTCTCAAGGCAATGCGAAGGGGGGAGTGAATTCCTGACCTGGCACTGACTCGTTCTGACATCACTTTCGACGAGCAGCGCTGACGAGCAGAGTGTCGGACACCCGTCTATTAACGGACTCATTGCAAGGTAAAATATCAAGGTACACGTTACTCGAATCCTAATTATACAGGAAGAGACAAAAACAGAAATGTCAGAAATCAGTGTAACAGCCTTGAAGTACTATTGTACACACATTTGTTTGTCAAGGCTCCACATCGATTGGATCAAAAACCTTGACCCTCTCCGACCCATCAAATTATAAGCCGCTGAATTCCGGGGATTCACCCAACCGTCTCCATAAATATATGTGCACTTGTCTGCTCCCTCCACCTGATCGTAGTCATACCACGCCGTGAAGAGCGGATCCTGTGCTACCTCCGCTATCTCATGTGCGAATGTGGATAGAGTGGCGTCTACATTTATCCCGTTGAATGTGTCACTGCAAGGTGGGAAGAACAAGCATGAGAGAGGAAAGGAAATGAGTTCTGTGAAATAGGTTGGTGCTACTTCTGCCGTGCAACCCCTTGACTAAGTCTGGTGCACTAGGGCAGTTGCTGCATACGCATGAAAAGGCACCACCTCACCATAAGCATTGAAGCACTCAGTTCACACGGCCAGGAAAATCATCTAGAGCATGGGCAGCAAGAGGCTGCTCAGGAAATGGGCTACGTGCATTGCAAGTGAGTAGACGAGCTAGTGTGTCTCCGGTACACTGCAACAGTTCAATCATCATGGTATCAGTCCAGTGCATTGTAGCAAGTTACTCACTAGGGGAGCGGTCGGGTGCACTGCGAGGGGCAGCGAGCAGAATGCCCCGCGAATCCAAACTTGAGGGCCTTGCCCAGCGCGTCCTGTCCGTAGCTGTGGTAGCCGCAGAATCGCGTGCAGAACCCGTCCCTGGGATCGCTGCTCTTCACCTCCACCGTTGGATCCGTCATGACCATGTAGATGCCGTCCGTGTCGAATGGCAGCAGCTTGTTGCGCAGATGGTAGTTTATGACTGCAGGAAGGGCGACGGGGGAGGGTGGTTGGGAGGGGGTGGGTGTTGGGTGCAGGCATGATGAGGCGAAGCGAGAGGCAGGAGGCAGGGGACAACGAGCGTGCTAGAGTATGGGAGAAGAAGCGATTCGGCAGACAGTGGCCAGTTGGAAGAAAATACAGCAACTCCAAAAATGCGCTCGGGTGGAATATGAGAGTACTTGAGGTCTCACGTCCTGGCGATTCAGAGGCAAGGCGCGCAAATTTTCACAATGGCAACATAGTAGACCGTAAGGCGACTTACTGGCTACCACGTCCTTCTGGTAGTTGCGCAGAACCTTCCCGCCGCCCGACACGTAGTTCTTATCCAGAACCGACTTCCCCAGCGACACCGTCGAGCTCACGCGCTTGCCGTCCGCCTGCGTGCCGGCCGCCGTGATTCCCCACCACCGCGTCACATTGTAACGGTCAGCCGGCGTCTTGTATCGCCCCGATATAGAGTCGACGAACTTGTGAAACAGCTGTACGGTCGTCGCGTCCCAGTCGCCGTAGAAAATGAGGTACACTCTGATCGGCGACTTGGTCATTACCGGACCGCCATGGTACGTCACTTTCCCGCCTTTTCCGAACTGGCCGTTGCCGAATTTCATCTCCTGCGCGGACGCCAACGAAACCCTCCGCTCCTTCCCGAGCGTCCATCCGCCGTTCGGCCCGCCGCGCTTCTTCTTCGGCGGAATCCCGCCTCCGCCGGTGCCGCCGCCGCCGCTGCCCGTCGAGTTTTTGCCCCCCGGGGTAATCACGGGGAACTTTCCCGCGCCGCTGTTGCTCGACCCTCCCGACGCCTGCCCCCCTCGCTTTCCGCGCCCGCCTTTCCCCGGTGTGATATCGATCGGCGCTGCTAGTCTAGTCCCCGCCCCTCCGCTTCCCCCGCCCCCGCCGCTGTTTTTCCCCCGGTGATAAAACGCCACGCCCTTGGGAATGACGAGCGCATGCTCCTCCGCTTCCGTCCACGTCTCGCCACTCTCCTTCCCTTCCGCCGCCGCGTTCCCTTCAGCTCCTTTCAGTCTCCGTCGCCCCGCATGCGCGAATTCCGGCGATACGACTCTAAGGATGCGTTTAGGGACCGGTTCGGCGCGCACTATGAAGGAACCTTCGCGCTTATCAACCGAAACTTCACCTCGAAGGGCGGGATTGATAGGACGGGTATCTACTAGGAGGGTCCGTTGTTGCGAAGAGAGACGAGATGTTTGTAACCCGTCACGTCGTCGGTGTGCGTGCGTGTCGCGTTGTGGTTGAGACTTGGCGGAGATGAGGCAGAGGAATGCGCAGAGGAAGAGGAGTGAGGCGAGACAATGGGCCGAACGTCGCGGCATGGTGAGTAATAACTGAAAGCGGAGAGTAGTATAGGAACTGTCGTAAGAAAACGGTTGGCCCGTGCGTCTCGCCCTGGTGGATTGACAGAGAGAGTTGTGTTTAGCAGGGGGGAAGCTTGCGTCAGTGGAATTTGAGGCTGAGGAATTCGGAATTTGAAGTGAAGGCCACCGACCCTGCCTTGAAACATTGTTACCTAGGGCTCGACGAATTCAGCTTGCTGTTAGGTGGTGGCTTGAGGAAATGGGTCGAGGAACAACGGAGGCGCGATGAAGGTTGCACGGAAACTGGGTCAGGTGGGGGAGGGAAGGCATTGACCGAGAAAGGATGGCGCCTGCTTCTGCCTCTGTCAGTTCGACAGCGTGGAATATGTACACAAATCGAAGCGCCTTCTCCATGCCTAACGAGGCGCTTCTTTTTTCCCAACATCCCAAACCAAACCAATGCCCACAGTTTCGACTCTGGCCCAAGAGGCCATTTGAACCCCTTGAAGTACGGACGGTGGAACAGAAGTTGCAACTTTCAAACATGCTGCTCCACCATTGTTCCACCGACATCCCCACGAACACAAGGCCCATTTTAGATTATGGGTCTTTAATTCAGATATTGCACGTAACTCTGCATTTTTTAGGATTTGCTCTGCTAGTTAGCGTATTTACCGAACTTTCGGTTCCCTCGACCAGGTGGTTGGTTTGGTTGTGTGCTGGTGCACACAAATTGTTTCGCCGAAGGCGGAGGCGACACGAGTCAGACGGGGTCCAACACCATTGGCTGGAGAAACCCTTCACTGCCTAGCCAGTCAGCGGGGCTATGGCGAAGTGCGGGGACTTGGAGAGGCGTGGTGTCAGGCTTGCGGCAGGGCAGGGTGTTTGAGAACTGAAAATCCTCGGCAATAGACGATTCTTGTTAGCCTATGACATTTTTGATACGGATAAAGCATGTTATCGTCTCATTCTACATGAACATGCATAATATGCCAAGAAGAAGCACTTCGTTCACGGAGCAAATCAATGACAACAGCACCGTGTAACAGATACAAACCACGACATACCAGAGTGAACCGCATAAGGCGAAGAAAATCGCGATGTACCCTGCCCACCAACCAACCAATTGGGGAATAACGTCGCACAGGTCGCACAAAGATTCTGTACGGCATCACCGACGGCATTGTGCGATGACAGCGATGAACACCAACCACGAACCCCCCACCAGGGCTGTCGATTGGTCCCAGGCCAAAACTTGAGAGGCTGAGGTCCCCTGATTCCAGGCCTGCCATTACCGGGAAGTGGCCTTTTCCAACCCTTTAAAGCCAGGGTCTCAAGTACTACGAGTGTTTTGCAGTTGCTGTTGAAAGTTGGGCTGTGATTGGTTGGCGAGGTGAAAGGTTTGAAGTGGGGAGAAGCGAGGGGTGCGAAGCGAACGCAAATCGTTGGGTGTATCCGAACCTTCTAGGCTTGGAAATTTGGTTCGGAACCAAACCTAAAATGCCCCCAAATCATCGAAAGTCTCAACTACCCAGAAGTGTTGTGCAATCGCTTCTGGGGCACTGACGGGGTGTGTTGCACGCTGATTTTCCAACCCAACCAGAAAGAACTTCGTCTGCAATAACTAGGTAACCTAGCTTTAACTGCAAAGCAGTTTGTTGGAAACAGTAAATCCTAAGCGCCTCTGTCGTGTCGAAACATCGCACCAGAAGCGAAGCGAACTATATTGAGGCACACGCGAGTCAACCCTCGGAGGTTGAAAGAGGTTGCCGGAGGTTACGCGAAAGTCAAAGGTCAGCGACCTTTGACCTGACAAGTACAGCGCGACAGCAAGGACACACAACTGACTCGCTACAGAGCAGTTGCCCGAGTCGTCACTGTATCGAACCGCAACAGCAACAGTAAAGCAGTTATAACTGAATCCTTTCGTATTCCTTGTACTACTATATATTCTTGTATCTCTTTGCTATAATCAACTTACTTTGCTCTCACACACTAGTGCAAGGTGGTTCACAAGTCTTCATTAAACGCTTCCGCTATTACAATTGTTCTACCCCGAATTTACCCCTGCAAAAGATCCTAAGGGCCTTTTCTCAGCCCAACATGGTATGAGAGCTATCAGGGGAAATTCAACTACTATCAACACATTACAAGACATGGCAACATACAAGGAGAGGAGTTCCTCTAATGGTTCTCCCGGGACTACTCCTACCCCACCTCCTGCCTCTGGCCTGCAGACAGAGGAAGGAACTGCAACGGGACCAGCAGCGCCTTCAGCCAGCCAGCCTGCCAACTTCGACCAGAGTATGATGGAGAAATTCTTCTCCTTCATGTCGTTCTACGAGCAACACCAGCAGTCGGCACCTGCGCAGTCAAACAACAGCAACAACAACAACGTGACTCCAATGAGTCTTGACGGCTCATCATATGCACGTGGAAACCAGCAACAACCTACCTTTGCTCCGTATGAGCGCGGGTCCATTAGCTTCATGCCGCAGCCGCAAGCCCCACCTGGACAAGAAAAACCACTGGACGCACTACAAGTTCAATCGCAATTCGCGCACGTCTTGAAGCTACAGACATCAAGACCTTTTGACGGAAAAGACTTCTTTACCTGGTCGTTTGAGTTCGAGCTCATGATGGAAGGCGCGCAGATACTTGGGTTCTTCGACGGGTCTGTGCCATACCCAACCAACGGCACACAGTATGAGAAGCAGCAGTACACATATCAGTCGATGATGGCGTACACGATCCTACTGAGAAACATCACCCCAAGCCAGCAGCAGAACATTCGGTCTTACCGGGGATATGGTAACTCTGCCGAGCTCGCTTACAGCCACCTGAAGAACCTGTATCAAGCAACAGACAGCGTCAACCAGAGTCGGTTAATGGCGCAATTGACAAACGTCGAAATGAAACCAGGCGAAAAAGGAATGGCGTATATCAGCCGCTGTCGCGAACTGCGCGACAAACTCCTTCGATGCGGAGGATCAATAGCCGAAGAAGCCTTCGTAACAGTCGTCATCGGTGGCCTCGGTCCGCAATGGCGTTCCACCCGAGCCATCCTTCGAGCTCACGGAAAAATCTCCGAAGCAGCGCTCTGTGCTGAAATTCACGCCGAGCAGCAAGACATGGACCTGCAAGAAGAACGACACAAGAGAAAAACGTCAGTACCGGAATTCGCGTTCCACACTCAGCGACGCTACAACAACAACAACAACAACCGACAACAACAGAAAAACGTACCTCCGTTCTGTCACATCTGCAAGACGTCAGGGCACCCGCGCACACACTGCCCGAATCGACAATAGTCAACACCACAACAGCGACAACTTCGACCTTCAAGCAGCCAAGTTGCTTCAACGCAAGCGAATCCTACGACCCAGGTTCAAGCTTCAACAACATCAACGGGACAACCTGCACAAGGCGCAAGAAACATCGTCAGTTGTATGGCAAAACTGACCGACTCCTGCATCACCGAATCACCACCTCATTACTCACCGGAAGAACAGCTTGACAACAGCACGCCCCGCCGCGAGTCACTTCAGCCGAACCCGACATACGCCGCTATCGCCCAGAGTGAACCGTCCGGAAAGGACACATGGTTCTTGGACAGTTGCTGCGGACAACACATGTGTTCTTTAGGACGTTTCGTGCAACGAGAATACCAGCTTCAACGAGAAGTAGTCATCACCGTCGCCAACAATCAGAACCTGCGCACACGACGACAAGGCGTAGTTCAACTTCAGTCACGGGAGACAAACGTCATACTGCAAATGACGAAGGTCTTAATAGCAGAAGGACTCGGCTACAACTTACTCAGCATTAGTCAGTTGATGGCGAAAGGCATCCACCTCGAAGCAGACAGCACCGCTCAAGAGTTCAAGCTATACCACGGGAAAGGCGGCCTCTACATCAGAAAGGCGCTTCTCAAGAATAACGTCTTCGTTCTTGATTTCGTACCAGACCTTGGCACCGCTGACAGCGACGGCATCGTCAGCTTTGCTCCTTGGACACATCCTCCAGATCTTGACCCAGACTTCAGCCCCGGCGGCTTCTGGCACTCACACACCATCCATGAAGCAGAGAGAACAAGGGCGTTAGCAACAATTCAACAAACATCGGCAGCAGCAGAGACAACATCAGCAGCAGCAGAGACAACATCGACAGCAGCAGAGACAACATCAGCAGCAGCAGAGACAACATCAGCAGCAGCAGAGGCAACAACGCCAACAGCAGCAGCAACATCGACACCAATCGCCGGTCCTTCAACGGCACCAATCTCCATCGACGATTCGCCTCCGACACCCGCACAGCAGTTAACCCCGGCACCACGAGAAGTCCACCGAAGCGCTAACATCACCGCCGGCTTTTACTCAAACTCAGACATGTACAGACGCTCCCCCGGGCACCGCGCCAGCGAAGACATCTGGCACGCACGGATGGGACACCCAAGCAACACAACGTTAAACAACACGATAAGAGCAGGAGTGCTCGACAAAGACTCCCTACTACTGCACGACGGGAGAGAACTTCAACGAGTCAGAGGAACATGCTTCACCTGCCCCGAAGCCGACTTACCGCATCAGCCGTTCGTACCTCATCACAACCCAAGCGCACCTGCATACACACCACTGGAGAAGGTGTACAGCGACATCCTGTACAATCGCGCAACAGGGCAGGGAACCTACAATTACACCATCACCTTCATCGACGCCGCCACTCGATACGTCTGGCACCTCAACCTTCCAAGCCGCGACATGGCCTTCGAAGCCTTTGTCGCCTGGCTACCAGTTGCGGAACGAGAATCGCGAGCTAAGCTGAAAAGCTTTCAATCAGACGGGGGAGGAGAATACACCTCACAAAGGTTCAAGCAATACTTGGCGGAAAGAGGAATCAAGAAACTCATCTCCCTCCCCTACGCCCATCAACAGCAGGGTGTAGCAGAAAGGATGAACAGGACACTGCAGAACACCATGCGCAAACTGCTACGTGGCATGCGGCTACCCAACCACCAGTGGCCAGAGGCGATGGACCACGCTGTCATGCTGCACAACTTGCTATCCTCGTCGTCACTCCCGAACAACGCATCACCGCACCTGCTGTGGACAGGAAAACTGGGCAGCACAAAAATGTTACGAGTTTTTGGGTGCATGGTACAGTACCGACCCCCAGCTGCACGGGCCGGCCGATTCTCTCAACGCGCACAGTGGGGACTACACCTGGGCATCGCAAAACATTACAACGCGTGGAAAATTTTCGACGTCCACTCAAAAGAAACAGTACCAGCACGCGATGTCATCTTCTACGAGCGACTCACCCTCGACTCCTACCTTGCCAACTTGGCAGAACAGCGAGACCTCACCAGTGGATTCCGTGGAGACAGAGCCTTCGCTTCGGCAGCCGACGAAGCTGACCTGGACGAGCAGAACGTGGACGGAGCTTCGGAAGCAGCCGGACCTCTCCCCTACTGCTCCGTAGATATCCCAATGGACGACGACAATCCTCGCGAAAGCGTCAACGCCGAAGTCTTCTACGATTTCGCCGACACCGGTTACGTTACACCTGCACGGGTCAACACCGACGAAGCAGAACGCATAGGACCGAATTTCTTACCGGATCCTGAAGCAGGAGACGAAGCAGTTTATCCCGAGGATACCACACTCCCCCGCTACACACAGAGTGGACTGCAAATCCTCGGCCTCGTCACCGCAGTCCACGGAACGGCGCCTCCTAAGGAGCCTGCGACGGTTCAACAGGCCGGGGGAACATAGGGAAAAATGGCGTGAAGCCATGGACAAAGAGCTAAAGGCACTAGAGGAGCGCAACACCTGGAAAGTCGTCCCTATCGGCGTAGCACGAAACAAGACAATGCTCACTGGAAAGTGGGTCTTCCGTGTGAAAACAAAGGCTGACGGCACCATCGACAAGTTCAAAGCGCGCTGGGTCGTACGCGGTTTCGACCAGGAGCATGGACGGGATTTCACCGAAACGTTTGCTCCGGTCAGCCGCCATACTTCACTTCGCATCCTTCTCGCAATCGCCGCCATGAAGAAGAAAAAGTTGCGACAGATTGATGTCGCAAACGCTTTTCTCTACGCACCCGTTGACGCAGAGATCTTCGTGGAACTACCACACGGCTCCAGCACGAACTCCACGCACGTTTGCCAGCTGCTAAAATCACTCTACGGGATCAAACAGGCTCCGCGACTATGGCAACAGTACCTGCACGCACGTCTCATCCGCATCGGTTTTAAGCAACTCCCGCACGACCAGGGCATGTACCGGCTCACGAAGAACGACGACTACATCCTGCTAATCGTCTATGTAGACGACCTCCTCTACATCGGCTCCACCGACGGCATCACCACCTGGTTCGAAGGGGAGCTGCAGCAAGACCTCACTCTCACGGTCTCGTCTACTGTGACTCAGTACCTCGGTCTCAACATCCGGGAAGAAGACGACGCAATCTACCTCAGTGCCGCAAAATACGCAGACACCATCGCCAAGTGCTTCAACCTCACACCAACCGCCATCTCCACACCATATCGCTACACGACAGGAAACAACAAGGGAGAATCTACTCTACTCAAGCCTGCCGGCATTCGCGACTACCAAAGAAAACTGGGATGTCTTCTCTTCGCAGCCGTCACCTGTCGCCCAGACCTATCCTACTCCGCAAACCAATTCGCCACCCACCTCAAAAGGCCCGAAGCAGAACACCTAGGAGAGCTCGACCGCGCACTTCACTACCTCGTCAGCACCCCGACGATCGGGCTAACCTACCACAAGAACGCAACTACACCGACTAAGTTAATCGGCTACGTCGACGCCGATCACGCTGGTGACCCCGATAACAGACGCTCGCGCACCGGCTACATCTACCGTTTGGAACCTATCGGCCCTATCTCCTGGCACTCGAGTAAGCAAGCAGGAATTAATCGCCCTCTCATCAGCTGAAGCAGAATATATCGCACTCTGCTCAGCCACCAAAGAAGGACTCTACCTTCGCGAACTGCTGGAAGAAGCGAAGTTAGCCGAGTTACCCAACTTCACCCTGTTCTGCGACAACCAGTCGGCAATTCGCATCGCCAACAAAAGCGGCTTCGCGAACAGGACGAAACACATCGCCCTACGCTACTTCTTCGTGAAAGACGAGATCGAGAAGGGAAGACTTGAACTATCCTACTGTCCGACGTCCGAGATGGCAGCTGACTACTTGACCAAGAAACTCGGAAAGCAGAAGTTCGAGTACTGCATGCTGCTGACTGGACAGGGCCACGTCATCAGCAGCGACACTCCAGAAGCGAAGGGGAGTGTTGGAAACAGTAAATCCTAAGCGCCTCTGTCGTGTCGAAACATCGCACCAGAAGCGAAGCGAACTATATTGAGGCACACGCGAGTCAACCCTCGGAGGTTGAAAGAGGTTGCCGGAGGTTACGCGAAAGTCAAAGGTCAGCGACCTTTGACCTGACAAGTACAGCGCGACAGCAAGGACACACAACTGACTCGCTACAGAGCAGTTGCCCGAGTCGTCACTGTATCAAACCGCAACAGCAACAGTAAAGCAGTTATAACTGAATCCTTTCGTATTCCTTGTACTACTATATATTCTTGTATCTCTTTGCTATAATCAACTTACTTTGCTCTCACACACTAGTGCAAGGTGGTTCACAAGTCATCATTAAACGCTTCCGCTATTACAATTGTTCTACCCCGAATTTACCCCTGCAAAAGATCCTAAGGGCCTTTTCTCAGCCCAACACAGTTGACAGCTCCTTAGCTCACTTGAGACCCTGGCTTTAAGCGGCCGGTAAAGCACTCGACTCAGAACTTGAATTCAGGGCTACACTACAACATTCAGGGTAGTAAATTAGTACTCACTATATAATTTCAGCCACTATTATCTTGAAACTACTACCTAGTACCTACCTACCTACATTCTCAACAATACAATCTAAGTGGCAGGCCTGCGCCTCCTCTCCCCATCAAAGATGTGGTACACACCTGCCCAGTCCATGTCATAATCTAGCATCTTCACGGTCATACCTAACGTCGTTGAGAGCACACCTATCCCACGTCTTGATAATGTTTTGCCTAGAAAAGCCCCTCTCGCACTCTACTGTGCTGAGAGGCAAGACTGAGATAGCACGCCAGAGCTTAACAATGTTGGGATAGTCACCACGCCAGTCGGATGTGCGCAGCATGTTGGTCAAGCCCTGGTGAAAGCTCTGGTTCTTGAATTTCTTCTCGAGGGTGACGGTGAAGAGCCTGATCTCGGGCTCAATGTCCTCTGCTGCGACGCCTGCCATGGCCATCGGAAACAAAGCATGAATGAATACGTCATCTAGGTTAATAAAATGTCAGTGAGAGATCCCATTCTCAGATCGTGTGTCCAGAAACTGTACCTGGAAGCTGATGGTTGAACATCTCCAGAAGCTGATCCATGTGGGAAGAGAACCACATGTCCTGGTCACCCCAGCGATAAGGGTAGCTGGAAGAAACAAAAAACTGCACACCGACAAAGTGGCGGAGGTCCGCCATCCTCGTTGAGAGGCTCTTGATGTAGCGCCTCCGCAAACCTCCGTCCCAGGTCATAGCAGGCCGTGAGATCAGAGCCGCCTTCATCTTCATCATCGGGGTCGAGTTGCTCTTCGTGCAGCTCAAAGGCCTCGATCACCCGTTCGCCATCAGCGTTCAGCCCAGTCACGTTCATGTTGCGGTCCTCAGCATGGGCTTCCAGAAACTTCAGCAGCCTGGACTTACTGCCGCACCCGAACTTGGCGCCGGGCTCGATGTACCGCTGTGACAGCTTCGTCTTGAGCTTGTCGACGCGGTTCTTAACCTCTGCGATGTCGACCTGTGGAGAGGGTTAACACCGTTAGTCAGTGAGTGGTAAAATAAAGAAACAAAAGGAGCAAGTATCAACAGAACTAGGCAAGAATGAGTGCATTGAATGGAACAGTTGGGTACAAGTAGCAAACCCTAGTTGGGGTTGTACCCCATATTGGCTACCCCACTACAGCCTACCAACATATAACACATTACAATTTAACACACCCCCATAGGCAAAGTGGGGGAGAACAAAGGGTCACAAGACCAGTCCAGCAAAGCAACGCAAGCCCAGGGTGGATCACAACGTCACCACACTCTGAGCACAAGCAAAGGCCACAAGGCCAGTTCACATGCAGTGCTAGAGATAGTACAAGACAAGCAACACAGTGATCAAAACCTAGCAAGCAAGCAACAGGATATATATAAAGTACAGTACAAAGGTGGGGTGGTAAAACTGCCAGCCCGGCGCGTCAGGAACAAAGCCAAGGAAGACACAGGGAAGTGTGCGGGAGGAGAGCTTGTCCGCGGACGTATCGCGGACAAGGGCACGAGCACCCCACACCCGGAAGCGCGACGCATCGCCAACCTCCCCCGTCCAACGCAGTGTGGGCGAGGTCTCCGGCAAGGAGACACGGGGCCAGAGGTTGAGCTGATGCGCGGCGTACCGGACAGCAAACGGCCACAGAAAATGGGGAGCCGCCGCGTGGACCAAGGAGGTACGAGCGACCTCCATGACCAGGCCAATGCGGCGCTCAGCAATCCCATTCTGCTGTGGAGAGTCCGGAAGCGTGAAGGTCTGCTCGATGCCCTCCGCCTGACAGAAGGTCCTCAAGAGATCGGAGGAAAACTCACCACCTCTGTCAGAGTGCAGACGCAGGACAGGAAGATCCGTCCGGAAACGGCGGCGGAGCTGGAGACGAACTGTGCGGATCCAAGGGATCAGAACAGCAGGGACCTCACCCTTGGTGCGCAAGGGGAAGACCGTGGTGTAACGCGAGTAGTCGTCGACAACCAGTAAAAAGTACCGCTCACCGCCCTGGCCACGAACGCGGGCTGGGCCCCACACGTCCAGGTGGAGGGTCTGCAGAGGAGCCTCTGTCGGGGGGAACGAGGAGGAGTGAGGAGCGGCGCGCTGCCGCCCCTCGACGCAAGGAAGGCAAGGCGGCGCAGGCGAGGCAGGGAGGGGAGGGAGGGACCTGGGAAGACCAGACACAAGGCGGCGACGGTGCATGCCACGGAGGCGTGGCAAGGAGGGGTGACCCAGGCGATGGTGCCAGAGAAGAGTCTGGTGCGACAGGGAACGACACTCACAGGCGTGGGCCACTAGACCTGACGCGGACACCTGACCGACAGCAGCGACCTGAGGAGACGCAGTGGTCAGTGTGTAGAGACTCGACCCCGGCCGACGGGTAAACGTAGCCAGGTGACGGCCGGTCCTGGAGCACGTGCAGATCGCCACACGCTGTCCTCCAGGGGTAAAGGTGTCAACCCACTGATCCTGGATGACAGCGTTGCTCACCAGGTTCGTCGAGAACGAGGGGAGGTGGAAACCAGACAACGAGCCAGACGGAACCGCCGGACAAGGGAGCACAGTGGTGGACTGGGCAAGGACTGGGCCCCCAGAGGGGTCAGCCAAGGAGACTGGGACCGGTGCAGGAAGCGGTGTGAGCTCAGTACTGTCACGAAAGAAACAGCGGGAAGCACCTGAGTCAAGGGTGAAGGTGTGACAGGCCTCAGCCGGTGCGGTACCTGAGAGAGCAGTCTCTGTGGGTGCTGTACCTGAGAGAGCAGACTCGCAAACAGCCGGGACAGCACTGGAGGGAGCAAGTACAGGGGGCACCATACCAGAGAGAGCAGACTCACTAGTACCCAGGGCAGCGGGCTCTATACCTGGGTCAGGCGGCACACACAAGTAACAGTCTCCCTCGGCACTAACAGTCAATGCATACATGGCAGCAATAATAGCATCATAGTCAAGAGCAAAGATATCAACACCAGCCCTCATGAGCTCAGCCCAGCGGGGGCGCTCAACATCCTCGCCCATCTCCTCACGCCAAGCATCGTCAAGGCGGGAGAAGCAGCGGTACGGGGTGTGGAACCTCCCACACGTCTGTCCCTTGCGGTCACCTGTGCGAATGACATAGGAACAGCGGCCATTGCCCCCCGACGTCCCACGCTGAGCAAGCCACTCACGAAGCTGCTGGGTCGTCTGGGGACGCTGCTGCTGCTGGGAGCTCTGGCCCGAGCCAGTGCCTCCACTCCGACCTCCGCCACCACCACTACCTCCGCTCCGACCGCCACCGCCGCCGCCGCCACCGCCGCCGCCGCCGCCACCGCCGCCGCCGCCACCACCGCCACCGCTCCCTCCGCCGCCCCCGCCTCCGCTGCCGACCCCACTCCCACCAGCACTCCCGCCACCGCTCCCTCCAGCACCGCCTCCCCCCCCACCTCCCCCACCTCCTCCCCCCCCAGCGCCACCCCCGCCACCCTTGCCCCCCTTGCCCTTGCCGGTGCGGCGCCTCCCACCAGGAGCAGAAGCAGCGCCAGCAGACTCAGCACCAAGGAAGTCAACAGCAGCAGCAGTAGCGTAGGAGGGAGCGAGGGGAGAGGGAGAACACCCCTCAAAGATGGGGGTGCGAGGAGCGCCACGAGCAGCACCGACAGCTACAATGCTCTTTTCGGCCGCTAGCAGCTGCTCCTCTAGGAGGGCGACTGTGAGCTCAGTGGGACAGCGAGCAAGGAAGTGGTCTCGAACTGAGCTGAGGGTGTCAGGGAGACGGGTGACTATGAAGTGGAGTGTCCAGTACAGGGGAGGGGGATTCTTAGCGCAGAACTCGGTGGGAAGGGCGGCACGCAGGCGAGCATCACTAGTGCGAAGGTGGGTGATAAGATCGGCGACTGTAGCAAAGGTGGACAGCTCAGGGAACAGGTACGGCAGCATGAGGCGGCTAAGCTCGGCTGTGGCAGGCGAGGAGTAGCGAGCAACGACAGCATCGTACAGGGCCTTAGCGGATTTGCAGTCGCCAAAATGCTCGAGCTCAGCTAGCGGGAGGTGACTGCGAATGGCTAGGCGAGCAGCTGCGTCACGAGTCTGCCAGTGGGAACGAACACTAAGCTCAGCTGTGGCAGGGGGGGCAGGTGCAGCACCAGACGCGTAATCATAGAGCGACACATGCTCCTTGCTATCGCTCAGAAGGAACAGCTGCAGGTCATCCAGCCAAGTGGCGAACTTCACAGGGCGGCCCTCAGCATCGAACGACAGCACGCGGATGGAAGCCATAGCGACAGTGCGACTGAGTAGAGGAAGCTGCCACAGCGCTGCAGGTAGGTAGCTCGGCGGGAAGCGCGGCGGGCGGGCGACGCGGCGAGCGGGCAGTGCGGGGGGCGGGCTACGAAGCGGGCAGCGCGGTGGGCAGGCGGCGCTGCAGGCGGGAAGTGCGGCGGGCGGGCTGCAAAGCGGGCAGCGGGGCGGGCAGGCGATGCGGCGAGCGGGCAGCGCGGCGGGCGGGCTGCGAAGCGGGCAGCGGGCGGGCGGGCGACGCTGCAAGCGGGCAGCGGGCGGGCGACGCTGCAAGCGGGCAGCGAGGCGGGCGGGCGACGCTGCGAGCGGGCAGCGGGCGGGCGGGCGACGCTGCGAGCGGGCAGCGCGGCGGGCGGGCGACGCTGCGAAGCGGGCAGCGAGCGGGCGGGCGGGCTGCGAAGCGGGCAGCGGGCGGGCGGGCGACGCTGCAAGCGGGCAGCGAGGCGGGCGGGCGACGCTGCGAGCGGGCAGCGCGGCGGGCGGGCGACGCTGCGAAGCGGGCAGCGGGCGGGCGGGCGACGCTGCGAGCAGGCAGCGCGGCGGGCGGGCTGCGAAACGGGCAGCGCGGTAGGCGGGCGACGCTGCGAGCGGGCAGCGAGCGGGCGGGCGGGCTGCGAAGCGGGCAGCGGGCGGGCGGGCGACGCTGCGAGCGGGCAGCGGGCGGGCGGGCGACGCTGCGAGCGGGCGGCTCGGCGGGCGGGCGACGCTGCGAGGGGCGCGCGAGGGCGCTAACGAGAGGCGCACGAGGGCGCTAGCGAGGGCGCGCGAGGGCGCTAACGAGGGGCGCGCGAGGGCGCTAACGAGAGGCGCGCGAGGGCACTAACGAGGACGCACGAGGGCGTTAATGAGGGCGCACGAGGGCGCTACGAGGCTAGGGCACGGGGTAGCGTGGTAACCGCATGCGAGCGGTGGTGGGCCCTTAAAAAAACGGTCGGTAGGTCCTAGGGACCTCCTGCTCTGAATACCATATCAACAGAACTAGGCAAGAATGAGTGCATTGAATGGAACAGTTGGGTACAAGTAGCAAACCCTAGTTGGGGTTGTACCCCATATTGGCTACCCCACTACAGCCTACCAACATATAACACATTACAATTTAACAGCAAGTACCAAACACACACCCGGTTCTTCTGAAACGCCAGATTCAGGTTGTTGAGGAGGTCGAGGATATCGGCAAGGAGGTACAGCATGAAATGAAATTTGAAGCTGCTCCCAACCCGCCACATTTTCTTGTTCCCTCCCTTCCACATCCAAAGCAGGGACGGCAGAACATCGCAGAACCTCTGCACCGCGTCCCCTCGAGACAACCACCGCACGGAGAAGATCCCTTGGACCTCCTTGTTCGTCTTCAGGATCTCCTCTTGCAGATGCAAAAAGGTCTTGAGATCCACAGACGAGCGGCCGAGGTGCTCAGATGTCTTGCGGATCTGAGTATCAACCACGTTGAACTCAGGGATCTCCGTTGCCGCGTCCTTGGCGGCTAGCGCTTCCCTGTGACACGGGTATTGGCAAACACAAAGAACAAGACAGAGGTTATAATGCGCGGATTACATCACGAAATTAAACAACAAGACGGCAGTGCTCACCGATGGGCGACGCAGTGCACCGCCACAAGCCACGGGCATTTCTTGCGCAGCAAGGCGACCACGCCACTCCTCTCTCCCGTCATGACCGATGCGCCATCTGTGGAAACGCCGACAAACTTCTCCAAGGAGAGGTCTTTCTCCTCAAGGCAGGCCAAGATAGATGCGCACAGGGAGACGGCGTTGGCCTTCTTGACAGGAAGGTGGGCGAGGAACTGCGTCACGGGCGTCTCCGTCTTCTCGAAAGTGATGTAGACGATCAAGTGCTTCCCGTGAGCGCGGTCGGTTGACTCGTCGAACGAAAGGCCGTACCACTCGGAGGACTTGATGTCCTTCAGCTGCCGCTCGCTCAAGTGCTTAGCCAGGGCGCTTATGAACTCTCCGAACGCGTACCTGCAATGATATTTAAAAATATCATGTTAGTTCAGAGACTTTTAAAATTACCATTTTCGGGCCGAGAAATGCGCATACACACCTTGAGAAGTAACGGCCGTACGCTTCGTCGTTCTTGATGTCAGGGCACCCTAGATCTGCCAGGAAACGCACAAGGCTGGAGTACAGGACAATAGGAGCATCATGCCGAGCAATCCAGTACGCAGCCTGAAGGCACTTGATCACACGAGCCATTCGCGGGTCACGGCTCAGCATGTCGAGGAGACTGCGCTGCTCTGTCTTCGTCCCTTCAGCTAGTCGCGCGGCGGTCATGGCGGCCAGGTGCACCTTAGATTGATCGTGTTGCTTGCATGCTGTTCTCTGGAAATCCCGACCACCAGCACCACCTCGACCAAAAGGAGACTTGGTATGAGGTGCGTGTGTCTTGCAAACCTTGCACTTCATCCCGTACTGCATAAGCACTGGATGAAACTCCAGGGTTAGCCATGAATACTGCGACTTCCAGGCTAGGTTGAAGTGACGCGCCAATGCCTGCTCCGACGCAGGAATTGATACTGTTTTCTTCTTCTCCGCATCCAGGTTCGCCCGCCAGTCGTTGTCCGCGACAGGGTCCGGCCGGGGAGGCAAAGGCGTGCGCATCCGTTTCTTCGCAGGACGGGTCAGAGGAGTAGTCCCACCGAAGCTTATCACAGATTGGCGGAAGCGTGCGGGACGACCAGAACTCTTCGACTCAAGTGCCGCACGCTCGACTCGGGTTAACTCGGCATGCGTGATGTCAACGTTGATGTCAATGTCTAGGTAATTGTGCTCTCCGTCATCTTGTTCCTCCTCTGCTTCATCTTCTTCCTCCACGTCTAGGTCATCTTCCTCCTCGTCTTGGTATTCCACCTCCTCGTCGTCCGTATCATTGGTCTCGTTGGCATCCAAGCTAACCGTGCCAACCGAGCCACAAATACCAGCTAGAGCGTCGAGCGGGGAAAAATCGGACTCACTATCTGCCTCCATAGCTGGAGGAGTTACACCCAGCCTGCCGAGCAACCCCAAGCTGGATGAAGTGAAGAGAGGTGGGAGGGGTAAACCCTTAAATGGGTGGGAGGGGTAAACCCTTAAATGGGTGGGAGGGGTAAACCCTTAAATGGGTGTTTGTGAGTTGAGGGCGGTGGATGGAATGTTGAGGGCGGTGGATGGAGGTGGTCTGGACGTGATTCACGACACGCCAGGCCAATATGCCACGACTCACACGATTCACAAGGGCACCAACTCCACTCAAACCCAAGAGTGGTCTCCAGTGGTGGACGTGGTGGTGGAATGGAGGGAAGCTGGGTGGGCGAGGCGCAGGATGCTTGGGGGGGATGGGCACAACAGAGGGTCGTGGTGGGGGGAAGCAGTGCAATTGGTCAGCCATTCTATAACATATCCGATGAGTCACGCGAGTGCTCTGTCTGACTTGGCGGCAAAATGGGATGGATGGGATGGTGGGTGGGTGGGTGGGTGGGTGGGATGGGAAGGGAAAGGAAAGGGGGGGGGGGGGAGAAGTGTTGTGGAAGTTTCCGGGGAAGGCCCGAAACTTCCACGGGAAATCAGGGAAACCCCCTCAAGTGCCCCCTGTAAGAATCAGGGGAAGGCCCAGACCAGGCCCGTGAGAATTCAGGGCTCCCCAAAAAACCAACCCTTCGAATTCCGAACCTGAAGCAAAGCCAGACCTCAAAGCTTTTGTATACATTTGCT